ATCTGGATCCAACCTGAGAGACGGAGCCTGAAAGTCAGGGATGTGATGGGATTGAAAGGGCTTTACCTCTTCAGTTCAACTGCCCAGTCAACGGATCTTAACCGTACAACTGCCAAAATGTTCTCACACCAATAATCATCGCAAAGACACACACACACACAACTGTAGCTCATTTTTTCCAAAGTCTACCTGTTTCAGTCTCTGTGTGTTTTGTGCTCACTGAGGCTGCAGCAACAGGTGATCACATCCTGAGCTGACTTTCTGTGACATAAGGTGAATGAACTGGGCTCAGTAACATCTTTAACCAGCAGCTTGATAAAATGAAGAGAAGAGGAAGAGAGAAGTCAGACAGTGTGTGTTTGTGTATTTGGAGAGTTTGTGTGGAGGATGGATGGAGGAGGTGCACATGTTCGACAACAGGAGCAACTGAGGAAGTGAATGTCTCTGGAAACAAGAGCTCTATTCAACTTGCACCAATTTGATCCCATGGCCCAATGAGCTGGTCATTATCACGAGGACAACAGTCGATAGGTTATATCGTCCTGAGGCTGTGCTGAATCATTGCCTGAGATGTTTTACTGTTAATGTTTCACATGGAAGCTGGGAAACTGATCTTCAAATGCAAACCAAGAGGAGAAATGGATGTAAAGTGGTTTATATGTGCTGAATGTAAAGAGAATAAAAGTGTAGGCACTCACACAAACGCGTGGTAGATGAACGCCCATTCCCTCGGTCTCTCCAGCACGTTGTAGAGGTAGTTCTGGAGCCGCCGGTACCGCGCGTTCCTGCGGCCGCTCTGCGCGCTGTAGGTCAGCGGCTTCCCCAGCAAACTGAGCCGTGCGCCCTGCTTCCTCTCCGCTCCCACCGCACCTGCCGCACCGGGAGACAGGGGCCCGTCGCCGACCCGCACCGTGTTGTTCATCGTCCTGTGCCCCGACTCCACATCCTTCAGTGCGTAGTCCTGCGCCCGGCGTCCCGTGGAGCTCTTCAGCCAGAGCCCGGTGCCGCCACTACCACCACCACCACTCTCTTCGCCGGTGTGGCTTCTCGGCATAGCATCACCAGCGCGGCCGTGGAGTGCGCTGGGACAACGGCGGACATTCACATGTAGGAGCCAGCAGCTGTTGCGCCAGAGGTTGTTTGACTGATTCGGCTTTTCCCGGTTCACTGAATGAAAGTAAGCAGTGGCTGAAGAGTTAAATATCTAATCGGCTCCCATCTTTTCACCCGGTGGCCGCTTCAGCTGATTCACAGTCTGGTTTGGGCACTTTGGTCACTGTGCGCGGGGCTGGAGAGGAGTTGGGTTATGAAGGAGTGGATCCATGCAGACATTTGGCGGGGGGAGGGCTCTCACACCCTCCCACACTTCTTCACAAACTCTCTCGCTTCTTTCTGTCAAAGAGCCAGTCGGCGCTGCTCGGTGCCTATTACGCACCGGACTGAAGGATTGCAGCTCCGCCGCCACCAGCTCCAAAACCTCTGGACTAGTAGGTGGTCTCCTTTCCTGCATGTGACTTTGGATTTAAATAATACATATTCACCAGGGACACGTCAAAAGACACCAGTGCACCGATGACGCAGGTTTTACGCAGGGAAGAAAATGAGCAAAAATATCCAGTGTGATTGTTTGGGTCAGTTTTATGAGGCTACAGCCAACAGCCAGGACAACACGCTGCAGCTAATACACAAATCTAAAGTCCTGTCTTCTGTGGGCGAAACCAGAATTCAGGAGGGAGTTGGACATGGAAGTTTCTCGCATAGCTGGAGACACAGTCAGTGATTAGCCTCCAGCTCAGTGGCTTGTGACCACGTGCCAAACACGCAACTTCATCCATAAACTATTAAGATATGAACGCATGCTCAGAGGCCCGGACCCTCCAGTGAAGCTCTGCGGCCTCAGGAGCAGCAGAGACGGGGAGAGTGGTGAAGTGCGCACGGTTTTAAAAACTATCTGCGCCCGGAACTAAAGCGAACACGCGCTCTGATGATGTTTTGAACAGCTGCGTCACTGATCAAACACGTGACCACGGACACCCCCCCCCCCTTCCCTTTCTGTCTTTCTTTCTTTTCCAATCACTGCTTTTTATTTCAAAATCACAGTAATGGCTATATTTAGGATGTGTAGGCTCTTTATTATACTTTTATGTGACATTCTTTATTCCACCAGGTGCTCTCTTTAATGAATGTGTGTTCGTTTAAATCCAACATTTAAACGAACACTTTTAAATTCATGCAGCACTTATGATGACAATGAAGACTTTCTGATTCTTTTCTTTTTAACCTCCTGTCCATGTCATTCCCTCTCAGTCGCAGTGCTTCATGACTGATAAAGAGTGAATTATTATTATTATTATTGTTGTTATTATATCTGTGACCCTACATGTGAAACCAGTGAAAGGAGCAGAGTCACTTTCCACCTCAGTTGTTTTATTTTTCTGTTCAATTCTTCTTCTCACCTCAATCAAGTTAAACAATGAGAAGAAGAAGAAGAAATAACCTGAAGGTGATTTCTTCTGTTGTGATCTGAGCCTGTCCTCTAGTGGTCAAACGTTGTAGTTACACTTCTATCCCCCGAAGGAGAACTTCACAAATCCCCAGAAAGCACTTTACAAACAATTGAACACGTGCTTTATTATCAAAGCAAAATGTACAATACAAATCCATAACCCCACTCAACATCCATGCACATGCAGAGTAAGACAGTGTTAACAGGAACTGAGCGAATGCTGCATATACACATTCCATAATTCATTTGTAGGTTATGTTTGCTTTATTTGGTTTTTGCCTCATGGTTCAATTTGACCTGTATTTGTTGTAACTTAATCAATTATCCAATCATCAGGTCTGGTATTAGCATCACTGCACTTGGAATGTCTCAATTAAACTAATCCACAGATTCTTAATTGGCAGGATAAATAATAAAGCGAGACTGAACCCCAAGAACTAAACTGACACTTTAACAAGAGACATTCAACAGAAGGGGGGGTTAAGATAGCGAGAGAGAGAGAGAGAGAGAGAGCATTTGTGTGGGATTAGGCCTGGAGCTGACGGTTGGATGGGATTACGCAGCGCGTCGTTGCGCGGCGCAATTCCCTGCGCTGTGCGCTCTGCCATGGGATTCTCCACACGGAATTTCTCCGTCTGTTTGAGCTGATCAACATCGATCGACACCGATAACACCCGCCTGAGATCTGCCATCTGTATGGAAACATGGCCGACGTCCCACAGATCGTCAAAATTGGGATTTCATTGAAGATGCTCCCCAACAACACCGCGGTGCACTTCAAATCTGACGGCACCCGCTTCGGCCAGACCCGGACCATCAAGCTGCTGACCGGCTCCAAGTACAAAATCGAGGTGGTCGTTAAACCGGGAGCTGTCGAGGCCACGTAGGTTTCTCTCTGCGTTTGTGTTTTTGAGGAGTGGATTATTCTGACCTCACACAGACAACCTGCTGTGATTCTCTCAGACAGTCACAGCCAGGTCTTTATGGAGCCACAACCTCCAGCTCAGCCACCAAATCAATCAAGTCACTAATGAGCAGCAGATGTAATGTAATGGAGATGATCCACATGACAGGAGCCTCCCAAAAATAAAGAAGATTTTTCTGGCGTTAGAATATTGTTGTTTTGTAGTTTACAGTTTGTAGTGTACAGTCTACTGGTTTCTCATGTATCTATAAAATATTGTGAATCTCTTTGGAAGGTGAAATATACGCTACAACGATTTCTTTGTCTGATTTACGCACAGAACACACACTTTGGTTTCCAGTGTTTTTGCTGTGCGTGATTACAGAGAAGTAATTGCCTTTCTTGGAGGTCACACCAGGGATGAGGCTCATTCCTCGCACGCACAGAGGTGACCTTAACAGGTTAACTCATTTTAAGGTTGCATTCATGCATAGTAGGACATGTGGCTTTTACGAGTCTTTACCCTAAAATTTGGAGGCTGCAGAGAAACCAAACACGTCTCATAAATGTCTCTTACATTATTATCACAAAAGAAAAATATTTATCAATTCCTTATTTTTGTTATTTCTGTGCTAAACTCCTTTATACTCGACCAGTTTAACACGCACCATTCCCATGTCTACCTCTCGAAAGTGGGATTTTACTAGGAGCACGTGAAGGCAGCATAAACCTCCAATTGGCCAAATGTCAAATCCGCCACAGATTAGGAGTCTGGTGTTTGGGCTTTGTGTCTCCGCCCTCTTGAGATTTGCCTGCAGTTCATGATTATGTAATGGATGTTGTTGTACATCTCCAAACATGGATCAGTGATAGAACCCTGAACATCAGGGTGTGAGTCGTGCCTGTGTGAACAGTGCTGCACACAAAGTAGGTCACACAGGCCGTGAGGCAGAGGACATGTTGAATCATTGGATCATGAACCACATCTTTTATTTTCAATGTGTGGTATATGTGTCTTTATGTTGTTCACCTGTGTGCAGGTCGATGAGTGTGGGCGGGGTGACCTTCCCTCTGGAGCAGCAGTCCAAAGACCCACAGTCGGTGGTCTACACCGGCCAGTACGACACCGAGGGGGTGACACACACCAAGAGTGGAGAGAGGCAACCGGTTCAAATCAACATACAGGTATGATGGGGTCCTGAAGGATGGTACACCTTCCACGACTGTCTCATTATCACACATGCTGGTGTCTCCAGACAGACTCATGTTGCCATGGTTATGGCCCTGCCAGCGGCAAGAGTTCCTATGGTTACAGTGCATCCTGATAGCTACAGGTGTTTCCATGGTTACAGTTTTCCTACAGAGTTACAGACGGTGACAGGGGTTTCCGTGGTTACAGTTTTCCTACAGAGTTACAGACGGTGACAGGGGTTTCCGTGGTTACAGTTTTCCTACAGAGTTACAGACGGTGACAGGGGTTTCCATGGTGACAGTTTTTCTGAGCTGTATCCTGACAGTTACAGGTGTTTCCATGGTTACAGTCTTTCTCAAGTGCACTGTGTCCAGGCAATTACGGGTGTTGGGTTATTACCGCTGCCGGGGAGGTTATGTTTTCATGCTGTTGGTCAGCTAGTAGCATTGGTTTCAGTGAAACTAGGTGGAGGGGCGGGGCTATGATTCTGGGATCAGGAAGAAGGAGCAGATACAGGAATGATTTATCACTTTCTAAAACCTTGTGAGATTTGAATTTTTTATCCTGTGGAATGTGTGATGATGAAATAAATCATGCACACTTAGAGGACTGACATCTATGAGTGTGTGTACTTTGATGCTTGATGTTGGGTCTTGGTGGAGGTATGTGAGAGACATTCCATTTTCATTTGGTTTGTGTGTATGTTACCCATCTGTTCAGTTCACAGTCTGTGGCCTCTGGGGTAATACTGTGTGTGTGTGTGTGTGTGCGTGTGTGTGTGTGTGTGTGTGTGTGTGTGTGTGTGTGTGTGTGTGTGTGTCCATCTGTCCAGTCACTACACTTCCCCTTAATTTCACCTCCATATGATTTTACACATGATCACATGATGCTATAATGTGAGTCTTTATGTCTACATCAGTTTCGTGTGTGTGTGTATGAGAGAGTGATCCCATCTGCTCGCTCTGTATGTTTCATCATCACTTCATCGAATCCATCTACAAGCTGCTGTGAACTGTGTGTTTGATTGTATGTGTGTGTGTGTGTGTGTGTGTGTTTGTGTGTGTGTGTGTGTGTGTGTGTGTGTGTGTGTGTGTGTCTCTGCACACGTCTCCATCTGAGTGTGTGTTTCTCCTTCAGTTCACGGAGGCGGGGATGTTTGAGACCGTGTGGCAGGTGAAGTACTACAACTACAACAAGAGGGACCACTGCCAGTGGGGAAACAGCTTCAACAGCATCGAGTACGAATGCAAACCCAACGACACGCGCACGCTCATGTGGGTCAACAAGGAGATGTTTGTCTGACGGAGGAGCAGTGTGTGTGCGCTGCAAAAAACAAAACAGAAACAAGGTGTGTTATGTCTAATTGTGAAATGACATTTTCTGTTGCTCAAAGGGATTTTTGCATTTGTGCTTTATCGTTCCTGCTGTCATCCTGCTCCACTTGTTTTATTTCACCTGTTAATGTTCGAAAACTGACTCTAAAGCTTAACTGGAAGTTTGGAAAAATAAATGCATCTTTTTCTCCGAACCCATAATATTTGCTGCTGAATCAGACCCTGGCAGTTCATATGTCACGTTTTCATTCTTTCGTCACTTGTTTATGGAGATTTTACAGTTGATTTATTGAGGTTAACATGCAGCACTTCTCAAAAATGTTCATTAAAGTTATTTTATATATTGAAAGACTAATTGATTAAATTATATTTTGAGATAAATGTGTTTTTTTCATGAACAGATCAGTTGTGGTATCTGGTTGATCTCCAGTGTACGTGTTATGTTGTATGTGTGTGTGTGTGTGTGTGTGTGTGTGTGTGTGTGTGTATTTAACAACTGGTGCTTGTACAGATGTGTTTATTTGTATTTTTGTACTTTAAAGATATGTGTGAAGAGTTTAGTTCCAAAATGATTATGTGACATTTCCAGAAATTCATGCCAGGTCAGTTCTTACTGTTCTTACAACTACTGCTGGTTTTAAGTTTTAAAATAATACATGTTAACATTTAGCATCATCCAAATCTACTGTCCGTCCCATGAGTCGTTGAACGGAAACCCCATGACATCTGCGGCTCCTGATGTTAAAATGTGGGGTGAGTTTTCAGAGGAAGCAGCAGAGCAGAGCAACATGACCATCGAACTTTAAAACAAATAGCTACTATGACTAAAGATGAGTGTTATTGAACATTATTCATTACAGTGAGTCTCTATCAGCTACTATGGAGGCGTAATACTGTGGATCAGTATCATGTTAAAATTTAAAGTTCTCGTTAAAACATGACATTTCTTCCATAATGGAGGTACCACTTAAAATCAACATGGTGTTGTTTTGTGTTGTTGCTGCCAACTTTAAAACCATTTTAAGTCCCTAATTAAATGATTGTAGATGTTGCGATTGAACTTTGATCTTTATTTAAAGAGTGACAAGATAACACAGTTGCCCACTTCATAACAACAACAAAGAAAAACATTGCCCAATTGTGCCTTGGTCACCTCGAATTCTCAATTTTCAAATTCTTTTAGTGTTTTGGAATGACACTCTCTGTGTGTCTGTGTGTGTGTGTGTGTGTGTGTGCTATTTTGTGTGCAGTATAATGCAGTATTGGAAGTTGGATTTTTGTACTCGGGTGAAGTTGTGCTCCTTTGTACAATATGTTTGTTTTCTCTACCTCTTCCAAAGGACCTAGCCATGAATATTTGTGTTTGTTAAATTGAAATATTGACATATCTGCAAGAAAATATATATGGTAAACATTAATATTTTAAAAAAGAAAATAGTATTTTTGTGCAGTGAACCATTTGAAATGTTTTCATAGATAATAATCTTGTGTGTATTTTGTTAAAAAATACATATTTTAGTGAAATGTTGTGAAAAACCTATGCAAGAACCCGGAGCAATAAATGAAATTGTGCAAAAATAGTTGTTTATAAAATTTACATTCTGACCTTTTGTGGAAGTTTGTTTTGTTTATAATTTGATTCATAAAAATTGGAAGAAAAGAAATGTGGCTGATGTGTACTTATACCACTTGAACTGTAATCACTGATCTGACTGGTTTACCCGCAGGACTCCAATACTCTTCTTTATTCATCTAAAAATCTAAATCTTGAAAAATATGACCAGAATAAAAACTAGTATATATAGTTTAAAAACAAGAAAAAGTATGTACAGTGTGAGAATATTGCTCAGTTAGTGGATTGCACATGAACCACTGTGTTGCACAGACAAAATGAATATTGCACGCACATGCACGTCTCTTGTCTATAGTTGTGTGGACACCCGTTGACATAATGCATTCCCTAGTCCCTCACCTCCACCATCACCAACTAAATCCCTCACACCAAGTCTCAATCTCAATGAAGTTGTGAGGACCAGACGAAATGTCCTCATGAAGATAGTATTGAAAATTGGCCCTGATAACTATAGACACACACACACACACAAACACACTGGGTGCAGTAACGCCCTAACTCCGACAGGTGGCGCACAAGCACAGCCCGGTCGAACGTGCAAGCACCTATAAATAAATAAAGAGTAGCTGCAGTACCCGGATGTACAGTACTGCTGCACCTCCCCTCCCCCCCTCCTCCTCCCTCTCTCTCTCCTTGTCTCCGCCCCTCCGCCACCGCCTGCTCGTCAAACCGAGCCTCCTCCGCCGCCTCTCTGTCCCCGCCCCTCTGTCCCCGCCCCTGCAGTGGAAGCCTCCGTGAAGCGGACAGAGACGGAGAACAGAGCCCCTGAAGCTGGGTGGTGAAGCCAGGCCGAGACCCCGCACGAGCACCGCAGCGCCGACAGCAAACCCCCCCCCCTTTCTGGTTCTCCTCGACTCAGCTCGGCGGCCCTAGCGACTCCCCTCCTGCTCCTCCAACCTCCTTTTTCCGCCGCGCCTGGATTTCATCATCCGACCTGCAAGATGGTAAGCGGCTCCCGTATTTCCCCCCCCGCCTGGTGAACACAGCGGCGGGCAGGCCCGGGCCGTTAAACACGTCGGAGCGCTGTGGCCTTGTTGACAGCTAGGGGGGGGGGGGGTTTCAGAGGTTAGCTTCGAGCTAACACTCGACAGCGCAGAGCTCCGCGGGGGAAGGAGACGCTTCTCCTCGCCCACTTCTGGCTCCGTGTCTCCCGCCCTGTGTGCTTCACCTCCCCACCCCCCCCTCCGGAGGCTCACTTGCCGCCCGTGGCCCACTTCTCCTCCGCTCGTCGTTAGCATGCGCTCTTCATTAGCGACGAGGCCCGAGCAAATTAGTGTCAGAGAGACAGACGGACGCGTTGACAGAGGCCCGGACATTTCACGCCGCAGCCGGAGCAAAGGAAGAAACCAACACAAAATGAATGTTGCGGTTACGCTTCGGAAGAGAACGCATGATTTGTCGGTGTCGCCCTGTTGATAGTTTCACCATCGGACGCTTCACTGACACGTTCGTGTTTCACAGATTGTAGAGGAAGCTGCAGAACACAGGACTCGATGTGCTGCCCTCGTTAATCGACCACATCAACAGGGATGGGCCACAAATGAAATCGCTCGATATCGATAAATATCCCGGTTTTTATGCACATTAGTGGGTTTTTTTAAAATTAAGTTTTTAAAGATTAATTCCTGCTCTTGGGTGAAGGTTTGGTTTTCGTCTCACTTGATAAACAGCAAAACATTTAATAAATCTGAGGTGGATCACTAACGTATTATACGTCCTCACCGTCTTAAGATTTATTTTTACACCGTATTGCCACCGATGGAGGTGAGTTGCCTAGTAACTGTAAGACGTCCACGACTGGATCCATATTCGACTTACCTGAGGATGAAAGCTGACATTTTATCGTCAGTGACCATTTGCATGGGCGTAGTTGGGAATTTGAGGTTCCGTGTGCAGCCCCCTCACTCACTGCCACCTCTCCGAACTTTCAATTTATTTCCAATGCACAATAAGTCGAACACTCCTCTGCACACCGATTACTGATTACTAAATTATTGATGTGCTCATTTGCACAGAATTGGCAACAGCAGCCATTTGCTTATTAGCAATAGCCCGCTGCTCTTTGGTTTGTAATCGTCACAGAGCCAAAAGCCAATTTTTATTCCTTGTGCCGGTTTATTTGACGTTTGCTTTAACGTGTTGAGGACACTTTATGTGATAGGTGTTTTTATAGATTCTGATAAATATTTGCATGATCCAATTTTCTATCATTAAGTGTTCAAACTAGAGCTCGACCAATACATCAGCCGGGCCAGTGAATATTAGCTTATTGCAGATTTATTGGTATTTGTAGTGGTCTATAGGCAACAAATAATGTCCCACAATATTTTTTTAGGAACCACGTCACTGTTAGATTGCTTGTCCACCAGGACCTAGTGACTATGTATTCGTCACAATTCTTTGTAAGAAATGCTAAAACGTTTTCTAGTATTTTTAACCTCTTTGAAAACCAGTATTGGTTTTGACAAGCATAATCTCAACAAAAGTCAATACTTGGGCATTGATTAGATATCAGTGGCTAAAAGAATAAATACTTTGAATTTGTATTGTCTGGACTGCTAACACCACAAACCTGTAACATCCCCCTGGGCCAATTCAAAGAAGCAAATGTGCAGAGTAAAGCTTCAAATCTGGAACAAGTAACTTAGTAAACTTGGAAAAAGCCCCGGGTTGGGTAACTTCTAAATAACTATCAGAAGCTCATGCATTGTGATTTTAGGTTCCTGGATGCATTATGGTGCATTTGATAGCTGCCAGGATGTATGAGCATAATCTATCCATGACACAGCATTTAATAAAAACGCGAAACAGTGGCCTAGAGATGGGCAAGATTAAAACTGCTCAGAACATTTGGCCTGCAGCAGTCTCAGCTCTGTGCCAGAGGCTAGAAACTCGGGGCTCGTCCTACCGACAGTGTGCCAACTTATGGCCTGTCTAACTGCACTGCTCTCTACTGCAGGGAGAGGGTTGGGGGCAGGGAATCCGACGTTGCCTAAGCATGTAGTGGAATGATCTGATGCTAAGGAGACCATATGCTGCCTAGCAATCAAGCGCCACCCACATAAGGATCGAGCCGTAGCTAATGTAAAAGAGATAAAAGCCACAGTGAACCAACCACCAGCAGAAGTGATGATCAACACTATGTGATCCACGCTGCACTTCCAACCAGCCCACTCAATCTGGATTTATTCTCCTCACTGGCCGTTTCTTTGCTGCAGTCCTCAGCTTGTACTGGAGCCAGCAGTCACTGGCACGGGAGAAACTCTCTGCCAGTTTTGTCAGTAAACATTTTTTGTCTGACATGTTAGCCTCTGTGTCCCGTTATTAGAAAAGCTTAAAGTAATTAGTGGATTGGAGCTGGAGTTATGATTCATGTAGGAGTGTTTAGGAGTGTTGAGAAGTTGGTATTGTCATAAAGGATGAGTACATCAAACATGACGGGTGAAATAAATTCTTGCGTGAAGGGGATTGCGATGCTAGCAGTCGGATCAATCGCAGCTCTCACGTTATATCTTTGGGGAGGTGCATGTCAGGCTACGGCTTAGGGTTCTGCGTAGGCTGCAAGTCTACGCCTAGCCTCGATGCGGAAGTATAAATTAGGCTTCAGGAGGTGGAGCAGGACCCCCGGCTCCTCCAGCCCACATGTCGAACTGCCCTTGAGCAAGACAATGGACTCCAGATTGTGTGAATTGGATGTATGACAAATAGAGATGGGCTGCATTAATAAGTGATTGTGACTGGTTGTGTCAAAGTACTTTAGGCTGGTGTATATATTTTTGTAGAATATATATTTATATATATATAAACTATAACCAGACCATTATGAGCCTTCACAGACATATCGGCATCTGTGGTTTTGTTTGCTGATATAAAAACATATTATACTGAAAAGATATGGATTTGTATATTTTATGCACAGAAAATGTTTATCTTCTTAATTCTAGTTCTTTATACTTGTGTTTTCTTTTTAGTTGTAGTTGGGCTGAACTCTAAAGTATCAAGCCTCAATTATCTTTTTTGATAAAAACATCTTAGGAATTATTGCCAATTTTCTTTGTAAAATTATCAGCTGATATATTGGAATCAGGAATTTTGTACTCCCTAATATTGATATCGGCCTTTGAATATCCATATCGGTCGGGCTCTAATATAAACATTGACCATTTTATTTGAGTATGAGCATCATTGGCTGATGCTTTAAGTGCTCAATAGGATATTTTTCTGGAAAAAATATTATTTCTAAAATGATATGAAAAGGTATTCATCATGTGTCCAATGTCCATTAATGCTTGTCTTGCGTGTTTCAAAGTGAATGAGAGTAAATTTAAAATCTAAAGGTTCTAACCATTCTTTGACATCATGTGCCCTTTGAATACCGTATACTGAGTGCTTTTTTAATTCATGAACTTTACAATAAATCAGAAATGTTTTATTTGCAGCCTTAGAAGACGACCTCTTGTTGTGCTTTCTCTGCTGGGATCACCTCGTGTCACAGCGTTAGTCAGTGTGTCCCCAGCATAAATCTCATACTGGGGAACAATCCAGAATTGAGCTATTTCCTAAAGATTAGAATCAAGTGTTCACATGTCCTCTGCAGCTGGCAGAACACAGTCACACTTTACCACCACTGGGTTAATACATGAAAAGATTTGAGCATTGTTAGGATACATGGCATTATGAGGCCTTTTGAAACCCTTTGTAGGTAAGACTGGGATAGAAATGGCTGAAAGGATTATTAACCCTGCCAGATTTCCTTCAGGCAGCAAAGATTTTGGTAATTAATTTCATATTTGCACCTCTCTCCTGAATCTAGTACAAAATCCTTTACACACACACACACAGAAATACACATATATCCACAGAAATGCAAACAGACACAAGAATTTAGGCATGAACTCCTATTCAGGCAATATTAAAAAAAAAAAGAACAGGAATTAAAGAAAGATGATACTTTGGAAAATAAATTTGTGGAAGAGACTGATGACTGTAGCCTTGTAGCAGCTCATTTTAATTGTTGCTCACACTCTCCATGGCTTCTCTTCTGTGTAATCAAGTAGAAGCTTGTTAGCGATATTGCACAGTCAGATGGTCATTGGCCCCGGTTTTGCCTGCTGAAAAATGGAGCGGTGAGCTCTATTTAAAGATCCGTCTGAAAGCTCACGGCTCAGCCCAGCACTCTGCTGCGACTCTGGAGAGTTGAGTATGATGTTTATCATAACGCACGTATATATGGCTAGCTCGGCGCTCGTAGACACGTTCGTGTGGAGGAGGGGAGTCTTGTGATCCCTGAACCATCCAAGCAAGCTAAGAAACCAGAGAGAAAACCCACAACACTGACTCAAATCCTCTCAGAAGACGATTTCACCTCAAAAATAATGTCAGTAACAAACATTGTCTGGAAAAATGTGTCAAACGTTCCAAGTTTGGTACACAATGTGCAAATACACAAACCAGAGGTCTTTGCCCTTAACATAACCTTGTTGTTTATGGTGAACAGTTATTTTGGTTTTCAAAGCCCTTTTAAAATGACACCAGTTTGCATGTCAGCATACAATTTACAATAAAATAAAAACTTAAACCTTACACCATAAGGCTGAAACTGAAAATATTCATTATTTTCTCCTTGAAAGTTTTTTTTACTGTTTTCAATAAATGCTGGTGATGACCCTGAAGCAGTTGTCACAGCAGTAGTGAACTTGCTTCCTGAGACTTCCTGTAGTTTTATTGTAGGTTATGGTTTATTGACTTGTGATCACAGAGTCCTCCCGCTGTGGTTTGCTTTGGAATGGCCAAGTGAAACACTGCTCCATCATCCAGTCGTTTTTTTCCCCATCTCACTCTCCACTGAATGTGTCAGTATATGCGAGAAGCTACGCCACACCCTCAGTCATGTTTGTTCAGCAGAGTCTGCAGATATGACATGTTGGCATTGGTTCAGGGGAATTTAAGTATTATAAGTTCACATAAATATGCCAAACACAAGAAGAACAGGTTCTTTGATACTATGCAGGATGTGACCGTAGACACGATTTTCGGGGCTGAACTTTGTCGATCATTCTGTCGATGATGTTGATGCACAAAATATCAGGCACAACAGATGTGTGGACTGATGCATACTTTCCTCTGATCTTACATTTTTTTTAAATATGCTGATTTGCCTAGGTGATAATTATTTTGTAAAATAATTATGATTACTCTTAGAATTTATGCAAGACATCACTCAATTCCACCGTGTTGTAGATTGCAGTGACAGCACTCAGAGGGCACCACAGTGCTTAAATGTCTATTATTTGCAAAATGTTCAGTCATGCAATTTATTTCTCACTGTAACTACAGTTAGAAATGTCAACTTCTTTCGTGTTCCACATTACAGTAAGCAAATGTGCAATGGTTTTTTAAACAAAGTTTGCTTGTTCAATTTCCACGATTAGACAGAGCAGTCGATGAGTAGTGTTGCTGCATCCTGATGCCACTGCTGTGCCCTTGACTAAAGCACTAAACCCCCAAATTGCAAATGGAGCAGGCTCGACTTGTTTATTTATTTATTCAGTTTAAAATTACAGGGACAATAAACATTAATAAATATTTCTGTAAATTAGCCAGTTAAGCCATCTTGGCTATTTTTTTTACTTTAGTCCCTGGGCAGGTTTGAGTGTGACTCAAAAGGACTATAATGGGTTTCACCAAATGTTCGAACTCTAACTGATGTGCAGGCTCATTTTTTTTGTTACGTCTACAAACTTGGGGAGGGGGTTACACTGCTTGGTTGTAGGGGTGCAGTCGTGGGTGTAGGGGGGAAAAGAAATGACATCCCTTGTCTGGACTCATTGCTTCCTTGATTTTCTCTCCTGGTGTCAGTCCCAGCTGGCGATAGTTTGCAGTGCGTCATTCTTGCCGGCCTGTGGTGGGATGTAAACAGTGACCAATATGAAGGAACCACACTCCCACAGTGAATGAAGTGTCTTGCAGTATGTGAACAGTGTCTACAGTATTTACTTGGCACTGTCTCATCTGCACACCAACATTTGTTGATATAGGTTAATTTTTGGTGATAGCTCCATTGCACGATCCATTTGTCGACAGTGAAGATGTAACCTGTTGTCAGGGACGACTCACTGAAAGGCAAACTGCAGGACATGTCTGGAAATGGCTTTAGTAATCTGGTTTGAGTAGCTGAACAAACAGAGAATTAACTAAAATCTATAAAGTCCTAGTGAGCGCTGCACCGAGGCTGCCACTCTGCTGCACCATGTGAACCAGTCTGCAGCCACATATACTGTGCTCCGCAGTCCTTCATGTTATGACTGGTTTCTGCAGGTCTATAATTAGTTGGGTTTTTGGGTCGGCCATAGTGTTCCCTCTGAACCAGCGGCGATGCCAGACTCTTCATTATGCAAAATGTGTTTTGTGTGCTAAGACCTAATTGATTCTGAATGAAACCTGCATTATTGATGAGCCAAGCTCTTTCTCTTTTTGCTTCTGTTCCTCTCTGAGGTGCATTTTCACTTAATGAATTTCTTCTCCTATATCTATATTTTTTATAATCGTCCCGCCCAGTTGCTCCGTTTGGATCTTTGGAAAGACGCAGCTCAACCAGAGTTGCAAGAAGTGGTTTATTATACAGATAAAACAGGAGTTACTCCTGACCCCACGTTAACAGCACCAGTGACCTAAGGCCTTAGTGAGTAAACCTGTAATCCACAAGATCTGCTTTGCTGTAAGGCTCTTTATCTCCAGAGACCCTACACCTTGCTCTTGAGGGACAGATGTCAGTGATGGAGTTGGAGTGTGCCCACCACACACTCATGTACCCACCATTTTGTTTTGGTAATAATTAATTTACCGTCTGTAAGCTAAGATTAATTTATCATATTTCACACTTACAGCATGTCGGCACTATTAACAAACGTATTAAATATAGTTTGCCAAAGTTTGCTGAACAGTGACTCTAATTGTTTTATATTGTCCATCCACTCGTAGTTGAGCATTGAATGAATCTTTTTTCTTATTCTGTATTTATCTTTGGGTGAAAGTGTTGTAGCACTATTGTTTCTTAAATCTGTTACTGAGCAGTTTAATTATTTTAGAATATAAATTGATATGTTTAGGACAGTTGCCTCCATTTCGTCCCCAACAGTCACAAATTACATAAAGAAGTCTAATTAAAAGAAACATCTGGTTGTGTAACTTGTGAAGCCATGCATCTAATTCTGTTGAAATTGCCTTTTATAGTCAATATTGTTTTATAGTCTTTTGATGTAAAGAACTCCTAGAGTTTCCTTTTTTCCATTTCTAGACAACTGACATACTTTATGAAGCCAAGGTACTTTCTGGAAATGTGTCATTACAAAGTTTTTGCATCAGCTTTTTTTTTTTTTTTTACCAACAGAGTAGATAAAACTTAAACCACAGTAAAATGCTCTCAAGTGTGCTACCTGTGTAATGCCACAAATAGGTAATGAAACTGAAAATGAATGATATACTTGTGTTATAAGTCTTCCTGGAGCCTAGATGGACTTGAAGTAAAACACAACAATGGTTATTTTAGACCAGACCAAAATATATGTGTGAACAGCATCTAGTCTTTATATAGCAGACGCAAGGGTGATTTCAGAACCTGTCCTTGAACTTGAGGACACTGGCCTTGAATCCAGAATGCTGCTGTAGCACGTGACTGTACCTGCTGCTGCCACAGAAATGATTTTTAAATCTATTGGGGTCAATAAAGTATCACATTGTCACTACTACACACTGAGCCATGCAGGCAAGGGGACACCCAGCTCCAGTAATGGTGGAGTCATGTGCTACGCATTCAGCTACACAGGAATTCAATCTCCGAAAACTGCCGGTGCCCAGCCTCTGTCTAGTTGCTCCACAGAGGAACACCATGTATATGTCAGCCTCAGATCACTGCACACAGTGGCTGACTCTCTGCTCTCTGGGTAGGGTGTCAAATGCTAAGTCGCTTTTCCTGGCTAATCCTGAGTCACCTCTTTCTCCTCAGTGCTCTTAAAATACCACAACTTCACTGAGGTAAGTCTGCTGTTGTGCAGCAGCACAGCGATAAGCCAGGACATGACATAACTGGCACTGGCTCTTTCTAGTCAGTTCAGTGTGTATAGATTTATGTGTGTGTCACTGTGAGCCAAAAAAGAAGAGTAGCACTTATTATTATATTGTTGCCTTATGTGTTTTTGGACCAACAACCCCACAATCTTTAAAGTTCCCTTTGCATTATCGTTTAACTCTAGCAGTAGCGTCCATAGAGACATTGCAGACTGCATTCCTCCCACTAATATGAAAGATGCAATTTTGTCCACATTAAAATTCGGTACAAAAACAGCTTTAAATCAGCTGGGCTCAGTATTGGGTTTCCTGGACCCTGAATGTCGTCCATCTCTTGGAGTCTAACAAGGTTTCCAAGCAGAGGCTCAGTTTGGCAGCTCCTCGATGGAGCTGCAGGACAATTCTGGTCGATTGCTTGCTGCTCCGAGGCAGCTCTCTTTCCTCTCGGTCTCTGAGCTGTAGGATCCCCATTCCATCACGCCACCTCTCTGCAACAGGGACTCCTTACTGGCTGCCATGTGAGCGTTCAGCCTCACCTTGCCAGCTGCCAGTGGACACTGCAGTGTTGGAGGGATTGGGATGCGGATGTGACTGCTGAACATGAGCCAATACCCCCCCCACACACACACACACCATGCAGTATCTATGAATGGTATGGTTCATTCGTGCAATTTAGTGCAACATGCATGACTTGAAAGAGGCTCGACATGTAAATCTGAAACTGCCTCAAGGAGTTTTTTTACATTGGAATGTTGACATAAATGGTTTTAAGTGGCTTGTGTTGGTCAGTGGATGCGATCTGCAGTTGCTTCTTCATCCACACAGGTTTTATTTGAATGTGAGCGTGACTGTAGTTCTGATGTTATTGGTAATCTCAGAACGTACTGAGGTTTCCAGTATAATTATCCTGTAGTGGTTGGTTTACATTCTGCTCCTTTGAGAGCGTTTTTAAGTCACTGTCTCTGAGGAAACTATTGTGATGTCCTCTGACTTCTCTTTCTCTCTTTCTTCAGGGAAATGAAGCCAGTTACCCCCTGGAGATGTGCTCGCATTGTAAGTATTTCATACGTTTGCTTGTTGTAGATGTGCAGGACTCTACTTTTTCTATTTTTTATATCTGGTATAAATTTATCAGTTGCAAGGTTTCTCACACACTCATGAAAAACATGACATTTGTATGTCACATGCAATTGAGTCTTCATATTTTACAGCTTACCCATACATTTTATTATAGATAACTATAAATAAAAAGAAAACCCAAATACAACCAAATATAATTTATTTTACCTAAGATTTAAAAATAAGTGCACATATTTTTGCATTGTTTATTCTGTCAAATAATAAATGCTGACACTGACATATCAGCTGGGTTGTATGGTTATGGCTGTCATGAAATAAAATGGCAAACACATTTTTTTTAATAATATCAACCCTTATTATTATAGTCGTTGTTATTCTTATAGTACATTGGTTTCTAATTTAATTCAACTTAATTAGAATTTTATTGTTGTGAAGTATTTCTGATGTTGGTGTCATCTTGAAATTATACTCTTGTTATATAGTTGGTCATGTTTACAAGATGTCTGTCCAGTAGAAATGTTTGAGCCCCTGAGCTCCCAGGAAGAGGTGGAGGAGGAGGAAGAGGAGGAGGAGGAGGAAGAGGAGGAGGAACTGAGGATATGACTCACATTTCTTCTTGTGTCCACCTCCTTCATCTTCCTTACATTTTTAAAATACAGCACCACATTGTCTCTGACTGTCGTCGTCAAAAAATACCTCAGGGAGGCAGATTTCTCATTCTGGTGCAAATGGCACAGTTTCAGTGGGACGTTGAGAACCAGAACCAGGTTAAACTGGATCTGCTGCTGTGTGTTTAATGAGCAGTGAGGCTGCGACAGGTCCCACTGTAGTGTTGCTGTACTTCAGGGACCATGTCAATGTATGAGTTGACCTTATCGTTCTCAGAACCAAATGTGAATACTTTAACACAAAGTTGGCTGTTGAGATCTTTTGGAGCACAGTTAAAAATGTCTTGTACGAACAAAGGGTTGCTGTGGGATTTAAACCTACACCCGTCTTCCAGGAGACATATAATGTTCCTCTTTAGAACCTTCTGCAGACTGAGTGCACATGCAGCCCCTGCGGAGAAAGTCTGGAGTTCACTGCATGTCTGAAAGCAGCTTTAGATTGTCTTACTGTCAAGAAGGAGGAGAGGGGGCAGAACCTTGGCCTGTCAGGCCTTCTTGGCATGTGTCCCCCATGATTGTGGCACTATGTTGAGGGGATCCATGACCCTCAACTGAACCCATTGAGGACCTCTGCTTTCAATCTGAGATACTTACAGCTTTGTCTCTTCTTGTCCCTGTTCACCACGCTTTGTTTTTCTCTTTCACTGTTCTCTGTCCTGCTCTCTTTTTCATCTTAAAGGTAGGATAATAGGCAGGAAAAATACTTAAACAAATGGCAAATAACAACAATTAAACATGTAAATACAATATCAAGGCACCAAATCAAAAGATAAACTGGATAGAAATGTTGGAATAAGAGTTTTCACTTTGGGAAAAATTCTAGCAATTGCTGCTCTACTTGTTTCTGTCAAACATTCTCCTCCTCTCTGTTTCCCTCTTCTCAGTCGCTCTTTGGCTTTCTCCCTCTGTCTCTCACACCCTCCAATGACAGAGCAGCTGTTCAGCTCATCAACTGCTTGGACAGGCAGGCATCGGCTGTGAAGAAATTAGCCTCTGGCCTGCTGGTGGTAGATTCAGCCTGTTGTACCTCAACCTTCGAGCCTCGAAGGAGTGAGAGTGTTAACAAAGACCCACAATGACTCACCTGTAGCTGCTGTTCATAACACCTCAACAAGACCTTTGAAATAAGGTTGTTACTCTATTTTGGAGAATGAACTTTTGAAAGGCCTGAATCCTTTTGTCAGTGCTGCTGACTTAAGCAGGGTTAGATTAGACAAAACATTTTATGGTTTACTGCATGCACCCACTCTGTTCTGCCACTCTTCACACACACACACACCGGACCACATCACACTCTTGCCTGAAACCATGGCAGGCCTGTCTGCAGCAGCCTAAAATAAAACAGAGGGCGGCTTGCTGGAGTTCCTTGTTGCTAGGGGTTTCCCTGAGGTGGGTGCCCGAGCCACTGGTGGTGGGGGCAGTGGTGGGGTGAGTTTGGGGGTTTTCTGATGACAGCACCGCTATAAATACATGCAAGCCAGCCGTACATTATCAGAGCAGCCAGAGCAATCAGCTTAATGCACTGAGTGCTGGAGTTCTCTGTAGTGCACACACTCGGATGCATGGCCTTCTCTTACCAGAGACCTAAATCAGATAAGACGGAGGGAGTGGTTCTACCTGAATAAGCATATTCGATAGATAAACCAACTTGTAGATTATATCTTTTTTTTAGGTTGATACTTGTTCTAGAAAACATCAGTTACAGATTAGAGTGTGGATACCTATCCCGAGCCCTGTGGGGGCTATCTACTTGATTTTTGACACTACATGTGCCTGTAATTGGGGAAAACATCAGGCACACAAACAGAAAACCCACTGGGTGCAGGTTGAGCTTACTTAGTTTTCTCTAGGGCTCAGACAACTGCACTAAAACATCCCCATAAAATTTCTTTTAACCCACAGAAGAACAGTTTTCTCCTGCTTCTCAAGCCCAATTAATTTATTAATGTTTCACCGTCAGTAATACATAATATTTTATTTCTCTGTAGTTCTCTGATCTGTTCCCTCGACGACACTACACCCTTTTTTCCTCAGTAAATAAAACCCATTATGCTAATTGGTGCAGTGTCATGTGTCAAACTCGTGTAATTACTGAGCTGTGCATGTAACCTTCTCATGTTTACCCACCCTCAATCCTTATCCTATGTGTTTGTGGAGCTATATACAGCAGAGCCTGGGCTGTAGTTATCATGCAACACATTTTTATACAGCACATCACCCCCACCCCCCCTCGGGCTTGTCTCAGCTCAGGTTAGCTTTGTAAATGGAGTCACATGTCGCCGGTAATGTGCAGTGTGAACCATTTGGGGGCTGAGCATACTTAGAGGACAAATTCATTAATGACTTTTTGGGAACATTGTGTTTATATAATTAATGGAAATGGGGAGGAAAAAACCTGCTGCACTCACCAGATTTTCAGCTCGTACAGCTGTGCTGCGGTTTTCTGGTTAGTTCGAGCTACAGGACTTTTTAACTGTGGTGACGTCACAGTGTTAAATAGCATTAGTGTGAAGTCAGAAATGCTATTCGCAATTGTTGACTGGTTAATTTTCACTGATATTAATATTGATATTGAGTTTTTTTAAAAGTGTAATCTGAATATTTTCATCTTTTCATCCACCTCACATGCACGACGACATATTTAACTTTTTTTTTCTCTAGATGGATTGTAATAGATTTTGTGAAAACCTAGCAATTTAAGTTAAACAGCAGAAATATATCGGGAGGCCATGTAAGACAAAGCTATGGAGCATAGACCAGAAGGAGGTTGCAGTATTTTTTATGTTAATTGATGCATATGTGTGTAACAGACACTTGGATTAATCCAAACGCTGATCTACATATGCATGTGTTTCCATGCATGTCTTCACCTTGTGAACAGCTGTTTAAATGTACCTCCTCCTTTTGTTCCTGCGTGTGTGGGGGGGCTACTTTGGGGGCTAACGGCTTCCAGTTGCCTAGTAACACAGTTGAGGGTGCATGCAGTTTATGAAAGTGTATGTGTGTGTGTGTGTGTATGTGTATTGTGATCTGCAATGGAGTATATGAGATTATCATAATCATCTCACAGTTACATTGGGTCTCCCTCAGAGCCGCTCATTAGCATAACAGTGTGAGGAGCCTCTCTGACTGAGCAGCGAACCGTTTCTTTTACATGTTTGAATAATTTTCCCTCTAATGCAGAACTGCTACGTTAATATTACTGTCATTCTACCATATTATTGTTTTATACCTTGTAAATGTAAGGAAACACATACAGGGCTATATTATATATCTCTATATCAAAGCAAATCATCAAACACATCAATAATATATCAAAATGTTATTTTCTCTTGTTAAAATTGTGCACTCAAGAGTATAATGCATCAAGTAAATCTGCCAAACAAAATGTGACTACAGGTTTATAGGGTATGCTAACCAACCGTACCGCATCTCTACTGTACCTTCATTCATATTCTAGCGATTGATATAGGAGGTGTACATTTGAGTATCAGTTTGCATCGTGGCAGCTGTCTCTGCTGGCGGAGGCTCAAACATACAGATAATATAGCATGGGAGTGGGGTTTAATATTTCATTTGTTCCAATCACTTTTTTCTGCACCAGTTTTTTCCCTCCTGCCTTTAACTTTATGTACAAATGTTGAGATAAATAAAAATACATCTGTTGCCTTTTCTTCTTGGCTCACTTCAGGGGTAAATACAGTGAAACTCTTTATTTGTTGGACACATGGATACTTGCACCATATTCCACCTCCTTTAAAGGGGGGTGGCAGTCAGTGCTTGTAGAGATGGCGATCAAGAGTTTGTGTAAGAGTCTGAATGGATGATGGAGGGGCGGCACGGTTGATCAGTTGTCAACACTGCGATGCAGCAAGAGGTTTCCTGGTTCAGTTACACGAAAATCCTTTTAAAGTCATGCAAATTTGGGTAAAGTGAACGAGAGAATCATGTGTTCATTTGAGGATGAATGGTTGTTTGTCTCTGTGATTCTCTGGCGACCTATCCAGGGTGCACCCCCCTCTCGCCCACTCACTGGGATTGGCTCCAGTCCCTCCCACAACCCTCAAGGGGATATGCAGTATATATATATATATATATATATATATATATATTTAATATGGATAGATGGATGGTGGTCAAATCAATGAAACATATTAGGTTATGGCGTTTCTGGACCACAAACGTTATCTGAAGAAGTCTTTGATAAGTCAGTTGAGGCAGCTGCTCAGATGTTCCCCGCTCAGCGACTGCACCAAAGTGTGTTACGTGTTGTGAATATCAGAGTGATGTTTGTGTTTCTTTTCACTCTGCACTCCAGCTTATCCCACTGACCCAACAAAAGGAACTTAAACTGTGACAGGGAGTCAGTTTGAAAGATTCATGTAAACATCTTCTGTTTGGTGGAGAGCTCCACTTTAGAGTTGTCCAAGATCAACCCTCCAAACTTAAGGACACTGGTTTTCTCCCCTCATCTTACAAGGCACAAATGAAAATGTCAACTTATATTTTCTTGCACAGGCTTCCTAGTTAACTTATTGGCTCTGAAAATGGCTTTGATTTCAGGCAGTAAACCCAGCCGTGCCCATTATCTGTTACATCGATACCCCTCGCTCAGGCCGTTAAAGCTGCTGTGAGCCAAGCTTGTGTCATCTGCTGTGAGCAGGAAACAGGAGGCTGCTGATAAGGAAGTGTTTTGTGTCACAGGGCAGCCGTGTGCTTGGCTCTGATAACTCGCACCTTGTGGACACAGAAAACCCTGCGATACATATCAGATTTTGCATGTGTGAGTGTGTAGTATGTTTGAATCAGGGAAAATAAAAACACAGCAGTGACACCCCCCCCTCTTCACTCTCCATTGTGCATGTATACAATAATTTTTAGATTTGATGTGACGTATTGTCATATTTTTCAGGGCAGGTGAACTGACATGCTCTTTATTCTCCTGCTCTGTCACTATTTGAATGAGGGTGCTAAGTTCTAAATCTGATTTTCAAGTGTTTATTCATATAATATCATTACTTTAATGGTCATCCTCCCCGTACATGTATTCTTCCAGTGGACTTCAGAATATTGTTCAGGCTGTGCGTCTCTTGGCTTGCAGGCTCCTCAGTGGTAATCAACACAGGAGTGACTGCTGCTGTGGTTGTAATTGTTCCAACTTTCTCTTTCCCAATCTCTGTATTTCTCACTCTCTCATTCCTCCCCTTACACCTCCACTTCACTCTGATTAGTCATGGAGCTGATGCAGCACAGCATGTCCGAACGTTGAAAATCCAAAACACAACCCACACCGGTCTCTCCCTCCCTCCAGCTCTCTGCATCACATAATAAGTGGAGGAATGGGATAACATGTTACTGCACCAACCTGGAATCATTAGCGTGTCTAATTGGAGATGCATCCAAATGTATCTAAGTGAGATCAAGACAGGCCGAAAATGAAGCTTAGAGAGCCCAAACTCCTGACGAGTCAAACACAATTCAATGAGAAGGAGTACGCAATAAAAAATGGAGCATATTGAGGGGACTGATATCTATGAGACTGTGTAATTTAGTGCAGCTTGATTGAATATAAGGGACTGTTGAGGTTGAGGTATGCGAGGTGTTATGTTTTGGGTCGTCTATACGGACCTTTCCCGCAATATGCCATGAGAACCTCGAGAGAAACTTCAAATTAGGCATAAACGTTTACTTGGACTCAAAGATGAAATTCAAGGCCACTGTGACCTAATTTCTGTCTCATTCTTGTGAATGTGATATCTCAGACACCTGGAAAGAATTTCATCACATCTGGCACAAACCTCCACCGGACTCTAGGATGGACTGATTAGAACTCAGAGGTCAAAGCCCAAGGACACGGACATAAGTCAGGAGTCCGTCCACCAAGTTTAAACACACAATTTAACAGAAATGACTAATAGGGATGAAGTGATGACATTTTTATCTAAATGGTCAAAGGTGAACTTCACTTCGACATCATTTGGTTCACTGGTATTTCCAACCATTAACATAACTCATAACTCATGAAGAGAAGGGAACATTGTGACTTTAACTCTTGCATTTTTCCACTTTATCAGGTTCAATGTTAAGAAAATCTGATGTAATCTTTTCCTCGAACTATATCTGAACAGTGCCGTCGCTGTGGAAGTCAATAAACCTGATGTCACCTGTAATAAACTGAATTCTCCGCCTCATAAATTCATCACCCCACCCTGTTGTCGGTCCCTCCCTCTGTTAGCTATGTGCTAAGATTAATAGTTAGCAGGTGTCGTTTAGGGTCCCAGATTAAAGCGGGCAGTGTAGTAGTTTTGTGGTTGGTCGTCAGGGTCACGTGATTGTGTGTGAATGAGCTTATATACTAATTAACAACTGGCTTTGTTATTGCTTCTGGATTACTCCTTGCCATTGTTCAGTCTGCTGGCGAGGGAGCTGAGGCTGTTTCTGATGGCAGGGGAACGAAAGATCCAGGTTCCTTCTGTTAAAAAAGCACCAGTAGACAACAAAGGCTGTAAGTCTGAAATAATCGTACATGTGTATTTGTCTAATTCCTCCTCTACTCTCTGCTCTACTGTCATTTCACAACCTTTTCCTCTTTCTTCTATTTTGGTTCACCGCATTGTTGTCAGAGCAGAGTTGGCTGCATGTAATTCTCTCAGTCAATAGTTGCACCTATTTCATGTCTCTTTGTAGAAGAGCAGAGCAAAATGTACCATTGAGGTTACTGTGGGTTTGCACCTTGGAGCGGTGAGCTCAGTCCTGTGCAGGCCGGAAGTGGCGTCCTTGACCTAGTTGCAAGCGGTGGCCACTAAAAGTTATGACTACAATTCATTCAGGTGTGAGGATGGATATTTATATTTTGCATAAATATTTGCTTGCTTAGTGGATGTGATTCTGCACCATGGGTTCATTTTTTTCCTAATATTACTTCCCTATGTGACGGCTCTGAGTTTAGGGGGCCCTCAGGGCAGCCTGAATCCATCTCTTCACCATTTGTTTTCTTGGCCGCCAGCTGAATCTCTGTAAGGAAAATGTCAATGTCTCATCTTCCATTTTTCTCTTTCTTTTTCTCTTTGTCCAGTCGATGCTGATGAGATTAAGAGGCTAGGGAAGAGGTTTAAGAAACTCGACCTAGATAACTCTGGCTCACTCAGCGTGGAGGAGTTCATGTCGCTGCCGGAGCTGCAACAGAACCCGCTGGTGCAGAGGGTTATCGACATATTTGACACGGACGGGAACGGAGAGGTGGACTTTAAAGGTATGCTACACTCTGCTGCTGTGGGGGAACCACTTCCATCTGACCTAACAGCATTTATACTGGTCTCTGTTATTCTGTGAAAGACACCACAGCATCATAGTTTTGTATCGATCACAATTTCAATGTATTTCATATTTTTATGTACTGTATATTATACTTAATATTTCAGAAATACCTTACTGCCTTTCACACCCATACTTTCAGATCAGCCCGCTAACTAACGTGGAAAGGTTTACTATTTGAAGTCTGGGTGTTGTTGGTATTTGGCATCAAGGCTCTATGTAACTCCTTGCAAGCGTACACCCGGCTTAGTACAGTACATCCCCGAAAAAGAACAGCTGCATCACAAACAGCGCCCAGCATAGATACCCTAACCCAAAATAATATAAGATAAACTTGTTACAGCAGCAGATAGAACACGTGAAAATATAGGATAGGCAATACATGAAATGAAAAATTAAATTTTATGAAAATACAGAGAATATGAACATAATATACACCTTTCACTTCACATAATATAATATGTAGAGAATTTACTTGAGTAAATTGCAGAGGCACATGATTGCATGAGGATGTAAACTGAATTTGTGCATCATGCATGAGGAGATATTGAAATATATGTATGCATGTATTGACTGTTTTACGTATATATAGGCAGGTATCGTATACAATGAGTATGAAATGGATTCTTAATAGATGCAGTGTATCTGTGGGACAGGAGCTCAGATGATACATTTGAATTATTCTAAGGTGTTAAATTATCTCTTTGAACTCGACAGAAGAAAAAGTCTTGAGAAGATATGAATGTGACCATTGTCTTCTGTTTGTTAGCACAAGTGAGGCCGATGACACATGTGAAAGGAGTGTTTGCAAGTCCCACTATTTACCTTCTAGTCCCCTGAGCCAATACGAGCTCCCACCCAAAACAGACGTGGCAGCATTGAGGAGGAAATGTCATTAAACCATTTCTTATCAATATGAATGTAGATCAGCAATGAAAGCTCCCAAACGAATGTACAATAATCATTTCTACCCATATGGGTACTGTACATAGCGATTGCAGCATAAGGGTAAATGTTAACACTGCATTAGCATTCACTGTAATAAAGCTGATTAGTAGCAGAATTCATGTCAGTGCACAAATACACAGGATCTGAGTGGTGACAGAGAATTAATGACCCCAAACCTGTTTAGATAAGTTTTATAAAACAGTCACACTGTTCTCAAAGTTTGGAAATGCACAACTCAGAATCTCAGAGGTTCAGCTGCAGAATAACACAAAGTACACGTAACATTCTTAAAGAAAAAAAGTGAAAAAGAATTACTGGTTTCATCCATTTATTCAGATCTGCTTCAAAATGTAATGGGTTCTTCCTTGGGTCAGATTTCATGGAAATCGTGGAGTAGTTTTTATGTAATCTTGCAGAAAAATGGAATAGTAATGAAAACATAACCTCAGAGAAAGTAAATATCAAGATGTTGACATGTTATATTAAAGAGGAGCCTGCATATGAACCGTTCTCTGACTGTTGATCTCCTCCTCCAGAGTTCATCGAGGGAGTCTCACAGTTCAGCGTCAAGGGCGACAAGGAGCAGAAGCTTCGGTGTAAGTAAAGCTACTTCTCTAATGCTGCTTTCAAACCTGCACTGAACTCACAACATTTTCCTGAAATTCTCCGGAGGGGGTGTACTTGAAAATGTCCAACGCAGCCAATGTGAGAATAAAGCAGAAAAATGTCTGGAGAATTCAGCGAGCGCGTGGGTGTGTTGATGATTCTAACATGCAACGGATGTAAAAGTGGAAGAATAAAAAAATATCTCAGGATGAAATAGAGGAGCCACACATGTAGAAGACGCAGCTGAAGATTTCAACTGGGAAAGACAAAAAGATGGGAGAGCTTTTGGTGTTGAGGGTCGACAGGGTCACTTATCCCCAAACACAACAGTGTCTCAAGCTCCTCTGGTGAAAACAACAGAAAATGTTGAGTAATTAACAAAATGTATTTTGTCTCAGTTGCTAAATGAAAAAAAATCAATCAGAATTGATTTTCCTTCTGGCCTCATTAGTTAATATGAAAATGAGACCTGAACAGTTTTCAGTGCCTCCAGAAGCCAAACGATTGGTTTGATGAAGGAGAGCACAGTGCTCAACAGGGACACATTCACACAACAGGTTATGGTGAAAGACACGTTCTTTCAAGTGTGACACGAGTTCTCTGAATGTGTGATGCTCGACAACTGATTTTACACTCTCGTCTACCCCTGCTTCCCCTGCTTCCCCCTCCCCTCCCTTCATTCCAAACCCTGCACCACAGTTGCTTTTAGGATCTACGACATGGACAAGGACGGCTACATCTCCAACGGTGAGCTGTTCCAGGTGCTCAAGATGATGGTAGGCAACAACCTGAAGGACACGCAGCTCCAGCAGATCGTGGACAAGACCATTATAAACGCAGACAAGGACGGAGACGGCAGGATATCCTTCGAAGAGTTCTGTGCAGTGAGTTGAAGCCCTCATGCGGGATTTTCTTTTGGGAGGGGGGTTGACATTTCTGCTGATGCAGCCTGTTGTAGTGAAGGCAAATGTCAAAGGGGCAGAAAAATTCTGAAAACCTTTTGCCTCGGCTCGTCAGCGCCGGGTTTCAGTTTCAAACCTCTGTCAGGGGATGTAAATATAGGCTGCCGAGTTCTTGCTACATATGACGGGGCACTAAAAATACTGAAGTAGCACTTTGGCTGTATTATGCTGGAGGAAAATTGAGCCATGCAACAAATAAACGATAAAATGAACAGCTGACATTATTACTTGACAGGATTCCTTTAATCCTGGTATGATCCTGTGAGAGAATCGAGATATAAGAGAGGTTCTCTGCTGTAAAATAAGAGAAGCAGTGGAGCGAAGCCAAGTGCAGAGCAGTGAAGTGGTAATGAATTTCTTTGAGAAGATGAGTTTTCAGCTGCAGTGGCAAACAGGGAGCGTTAGATCCCTGCAGTGAGACGTTCACACACTGAGAAGCAAAAACCTCCACAACCAGGAAGGTAATTCTGCTCCCACTTTATTGAGTTGAGCTCAATAACCAGGACTTAATTACATAAAGACGTTATTTAGAAATCGCTCCAACCCCCGAAGAAGAAGCTGATAAACACCTGCTTCACGTCAGAACTGTAAATCAAGGCTCTTGTCAACATGTGACTGACAATTAAAATAGAAAGTCCATGACCTCAAATCTAATTTAAGATCAAATATGGAGGCAGAGTCTCTTTCAGTGCAATTATCATTACATTAAAAAAAAACGCCTCATCCACAGAACCTTCTCTGTTCGACCCCAGTGGAGCCTGACTTCGCTCGAAGACATTTTGTGGAATGAAAGGCACCAGCTCTAACTCTTTGACAGACACAAGGCCCTCATTTGACGGCTGAATCTCTGGAGCCTTGAACTAAAAAAAAAAAAAGCCTCTTGTCCTTGTGAGTGTATTTTCAGGACAGCGCAGGAGAATATTACATCCTGGTTTTATCAAAGCGACACGTCCCAAACACACGAGGGCTCGAGGAGGCTGTGTGACATGATTCACCTCGTTCGAGGAGAAACTGGGTGTAAAAATAAGTGATATAAAAATAGATTATCGTCCAAAGGTTGGCAGGAGTAAACGGAGAGAATATCTAAACATCCAGGACATTTCAGAGGTAAAACTTAAACAATGACATGTACTTCACTGATTTTACGCACAAAGTTCAGCTCAGTTGTAATTCAAGGTTAAGAACCGAGGCTGGAGGATTCAGTCACCTTGGTTGTCATAAGTTTAAGATTTCTGAAGTTTGAAATAAACAACCAGAATTAAACAGAATAAAATCTGAGTGTTTCTCATACATTTATTAATTTAAGGCCTCAACAGTGACCTAACATCAGTGCATGTATTTTCTCTTCCCCCTCTCTCTCTCTCTCGTTGTTCCAGGTGGTCGGCGGTCTCGATATACACAAAAAGATGGTGGTGGACGTGTGAGCACCCCTCCGCTCGCTGGATCCCGCCCCACCCCCCTTCCTCCTCAACACTCGCTTTCTCCACCATCTCTGAAGATCTGCTCAAGACGTCCGGCAAAACGCTCACTATGTAACTCAATGGAAGTATTCTCTCTCTCTCTCTCTCTCTCTCTCTCTCTCTCTCTCACACACACACACACTCTCTCTCTGTGTCTCTCTCTCTCTCTCTCTGTGAAGCCACTTTTTTCTTTCACAGGCCTCGATAAGCCAACTCTGAAGTGTTATTGAGCTGTAAATCCTCTCGATTACCCGGTCGTAGCACGAGATTGAAGGACATCGATCTGACATTTGTTAGAGCATCTCCGACTTTTGGATGAGGGGGGGAGAAAGGGGGGCTCAGAGAGGAGGCTGCTTGGCTTGTTCATATTTCATCCTTTTTTCTTTTTTTTTTTTTTATTGTTGTTTTTGATTTATTTTTTGTTCTTGTCTTTTATAAAGAAGAAAAAAAAAATACAAGTATATCTACGGTTGTCTCGTGAGGGGAAGTGTGTAGTATATGAACACTTGACTTACAGTACAACTAGACAGTAGGGTATGAAGTGCCAACCAGAACATATCCAGAAACCAAGTTATTACCCATCATCACCACTGTCATTCATGCCGGACAAAGTGGCTCGCGACACTTCGAACTGCACAAGTTTTAGATGCAAAACAACATTTCAGTTGCGTCTTCTTTTTTTTTTGTTGCTCTCCTCAATTTCAGCTTAACACACGAGCTGTTAACGACTACACCGGTTAAGCTTCCAGTCGCTCTTCGCAAAAGCAGGTTTTTTTTTCTTTTGTAATAAGATTAGCTAGTTTTATTTATACGTACGATTGTGTTTGTATTGTTGGGAGATTATCTTTGTTTCTTGTCATGATAATAAATAAAAATAAAATGCCAAGACAGCGTCTTTTTCAAAACAATCTGTGGCTGCAGAGCGATACTTGGTTTACTCTCGATGAAGTATTGTGCGTTTCTCCAACGCTTCGTGGAAATCGTTAAAAATTTCAAGACATTTTTTGGGACAGCGGCTGGATGGACTTGGCTGAAAACTGAGAGGACTAGTTCAAGAGTGAGATTTTACATTGTTTGTGCAAGTATATAGCATTTTAAGAGACTTATCTGCAGGCAGCGTTTTTTAACCAGTATGTGTATATTAGGTAATCAATGTGCTCGTCATCTTTAACAGCGACAGGAGAAGGCAGCTTTGCCTCAGCTTAACGTGAGCCCTTCTGAAATACTTACCTTTCTCAGCAACGCGCAGGACGGCTCGGTTTCTCAAACGCAAAACACTTAAAATCTTAACTTGTTGGCATGATCAGTGTGCAATGGGATAGACTGTACATTGTAGTTAGGTTCTTTTTTTTTTTCTTTTTGAACGTGTACATTTCAAAAGTTGGCTTCTTCTCCCACTTTTTTTTTTTGTTTCTGTCACGATCACCTCATTTCTCCCCCTTCCACCCACTTCTACAAACAGGGAGAAAAACAAATTTTAACCAAAATTTTAATTTCTAAGGGAAAAATGCTTCCTACTATGAATGGCGTTGGGATGGCTTTTTTTGCGTTTGGCTTTGGAGGCCGCCCGCCGGTTCGAACAGGGGTTTTCAGTCAGAGATGTGAATCTGGAGTGCTCTGTTGTCCCTTATCCCAAAGCTCTGCACGGCTTGGGCCTCCCTGTGCTTGCATGACATGGAAATATATTTTTTGTTGTGCATGTAGATCAATTTTTTGAAATAATCCTCTTGTTTACACATGGATGGTGATGTTAATATATTTAAGAATTTAATGGTATACAATATGGATGTTGCCAAACTTTGGTAAATGTACACATATTATGAGAGGTAATCCAAATGAACTGAACTACATGTAACTTTTTGTATTTTTACCCGGGTCAGTGAGATGCTTCTATTCCAGTGAAGGTTGCACATCTGATCCTGTCTCAAACTGCCACGCACTGTACTCAGCTTAAAGGGGAAAATTTTATGTTTTTTTTGTTTCTTTCTTTTGTATATAAGTATTTGTTAAATGCAGTTCTGGCTCTCTGTTCTCTGTATAGTTCAGACCGCGCTTTAGTTTGTAAGTGCTACTTTTTTCTCTGATGGACTTTGGGTTCTTTTTAGTTTGTGTGGGGATATCTGAAAAGATTTAAGTTTGAGAACCTTTTTTTCCCTTTTTCTGCATGCTGCATCTTATGCTGTGGGACTGTTGGAAACTTGATACTGTATGAAAATTAAATAAAATTTAAATAAACTTTGAAATGTTGAAAGTAACGGATTTCCTGTCATTTTCTGTTCGAGATGTTTGTGACCAGAACTGAAAAAACACTTGGACTTTATGGTGGCAGTTTTTGCTGCTTTGAGACATTATCCAGAAACGAACCGGATACTGTCCTGACATTTTTAGTGACTATTTGTGAAAATGTCCTGAGACAGTTTCTCTTGGGTTTTTTCTGTCAGCCTATAGTAAAATATATCGTAAGTGAGCAGGCAAACGATCTATACACACAGAAGATATCAAAGAATCTAGAAAGACCAGATCCGAGAGCTTTTGATGATGATGCCGGTGTCAATGTGTGTTTTAGAGTTCTTGTCTTGAAACCAGCTTTACAGTCATCTTCCTTAATGATTTACACTTCACAGACAGAACTTAGTCTTGAGGATTTTCATTTATTTACACAAACTCATTACTAGATACCTGCTTTCTGTTGTTTCGTAACTTTTTCCTCATTAGGAGTCAACTGATCCAGTAACCAGCTGTAAACATGAGGCTGTTAGAGGAGCCTGAGATGTCGGCAACAGTCTTAGTAACATGGACCAAAGTGGGGATTGCACCAGCCAATGGGGAAAGAGATGACAAACAGCAACCAATCCGACTTCAGAATCTCTCCGCAGTCCTGCTCGCCACCACTCTGATGTTTCCATAGACCTTTGAAGGTGGACTTCCTGTGAGGGCAAAAAGGTTTGAATGTCAACAATCGGCGCCACATGTTGATTCCAAGAGATTCTTCCAAATACGACATTAACAGTCTGATCAGAGATTTAAAACACGCTGCTTTTCTTACCTAGGATTAAGTTACAAATAGCTGTCCGGGCCATCTTGATATTCTGGAAAGATCCTAATATGTGAATTTTTCTGTGAAGGGACAAAAAGAAATAAGATGAACACTAACTCCACTGCAACATCATCATGGTCGCGATCATTTTACTGTCATGGTGTAGAAATAATTGGAGTTCTCACGTGTCTGCCAGCACGATCCGAGTCTTTGTGACATTTTCGATAGTGAATTTGGTTTTTCCTCCTTTTCCTGCGACTCTTCCGATGGCTCTGGATAAATGATCTCCCTTCAGAGGTTTCACTGCCAACACATAAAAAAAATATTACAAACTGGGAGATCAGAGATTTAGTGAGTGTTACAGCGAGGAAAGAAGTGGTGATAAAATGTTGACAGTTTCAGAGCAGACAGGTGTCTGGGATCTTACCGTCTGTGACATCAAAGCTTTCTAGGAAAAGCTCATCTAATCTGACGAGAGCGAGAGCATCCTGGAACGAGACAGTGAGAAAAAAAAAATCACAGGTTTAAGAGATATTCAGAAACCAGATAATCGAATTGTTACCTTAGCGTTCACTGTAATCATAATATTCTTACATAACCTGGCATTTTTATTCTTCTTTTAAAAATAAGCCTTTAAACTAAAGAATATTAAACAAAAACACATGAACAACAACATTAAAATGACATATTGCCTGTTTGAAAGTAGTTTGGTAAAGTTTAGTTCATATGTTCCAGGGAGGAACCTTTCTTTATTGGCAGCAGACGAGACTGACTTGATTTAACTTCTCTATCCAAACTTTGAACAACATCTTTGCAAATACTAAAACCTTGTAAACAGAGACTGAGAAATATGATTAAAAGAAGTAAAATCAATAAAAAAAGAAGCACAGATCATCAAATCCTTCGATTACTGAACTTACTTCAACTTGGAATCCGAGAACAAACGCTTTAACAAAATCTGTTGCTTTCGTGAGGGAGCCGATGTCCTGTGTTTCTTTGCATGTCTGAAAGAAGAGAGGTTTATCACACACACTGTAGACAACCAGAGGAAACACAACAGGTGAACATCGTTGTGGAGCAACTTACTTTGATTTCTACGTTTCTCGATTTGAGGTTGAATCTGACTTGAAGGTGCAGGTTCTCTACGATGGGGGTGTAAATCTTCAGCCAGTTTTCCTTCAGAGGTGTGTATCTGTGAGCAGGGATTGCGATTTTACGCATCTCATTTGGTCCCTGAAACACACAGATCATAATCACTGATCACATTCAGCCGTGGCAAAACATTTGTTTGAAAAAACGTAAACTGTTGCGTTGTGCAAGAGCTGCATTCATGGCAGCGGAGAAGACCAAACTTGGTGTTTTTGTTTTCAAAGGTTCGGTGTGTAAGATTTAGGTGAAAGGGATTTACTGTCATTTGGATTTAAATTACTGTCAGAGTGCATGTGCTGCTGCGAGAGAGAGAACAGAAAGATTTGACTCAGTTAATAAAAGCATCGATCATTATGTGATGATCAGTGTTGATAGTGTGGCTTCACTTCAAACGTCATCTGAGTCTGTGTCAGTGTCAGAGAGAATCATTGTGATGTTTTCATGAGTGTGTTTCATCTAAACTGTACTGACTCTTGTCTTTACTCTGGAATGGAACATTTACATTTACATACTATATATTTAGATCAGAGTGAGTCCTCTTTAGGTGGCTGCCATGTTTTTTTTTTACAGTAGCTCAGACTGGACAAACTTAACACCTTTAAGTTTTCATGTGACATTTAAATTCAAGCTTGTGGAAGTACTCTGAAAATAATAATAAATAAATCCCCACGTGTATTATCATCCCACATTTAATTTCAGGGGAGAAACCAGAGGATTGAGTGAAACCTTGGTGATAAAGTGATGGAAGAACTTCACGTGCTGCAGTCACAGTATTAAAGTTCCAATTATTGACTTGTGGCATTAAACAAACTGTCCCGGTGGAGGCTGGAGGCCTGTTACCTTCAGTTTGTCGCCTGAGATCGGGGGAAACTGCGGCCGCTTGCTGGCCACAGGCGCCTCGGTGTCCATGTCCGCTCCATCTTGTTCACGCTTTCTCTTCTGGGTCCTTTTGCTCTTCACCTTGGTGAAGGCCTCCGCGTCCTCTTTGCTGTCCGCGGCAGCGCCTGAGGCCGGGTCTGTGTTTTTATCGACGTCCATCACGAAGTCAAACCAGAAGTTAAACAAAACCAGAGAAACGTGAGGGAGCGTGAGGCCACGGCGACATGAGGGAGATCCTCGTGCTTCAAAGAGGACCCAAAGTGCCACCGCGCCGGTGCCTGTAGAGAAACACATAAATAATAGCGTCTTAAATTAAAAAAGCAAACATCTAGATTTGTTGCAGCGGTCGATTAAGATCCTCTGCGCATTTTTAATGTGTTGTTTTTTCTGCGTAAACATTTCTTTCGCGGGTTAGTTTCCCCGTCAGGCATCTCTCCAGACAGCCGCGGCAGGAGCGGCAGGACCCCGGTTTGTTGTGGCCCAGAACAACTTCACGCTTCGAGCTGAGTCTCGTTCCTTGTCAGCAGATTCTCCACCGACTCCCTGGAGTCTTCAGACCCAGCTCACATGTCGTCGCCTCTGTCGAAGCCTCAGATCGTCGCGCACATTCAGAAAAGTCTGAACTACACCGTGTTCGACACCAAATGGATCCCGAGCAGCGCCAAGTTCGTCTGCGTGGGAAACTTAGCCCGAGGAACCGGAGTCCTGCAGATCTACGAGGTTCAGCACGGAGAGGCTCAGCTCGTCCGGGAGGTGGGCTCACTCCTCATGTCTCCTAGTGTCTCCTAATGTCTCCTAGTGTCTCCTAATGTCTCCTTAGTGTCTCCTAATGGCTCTCAATGTCTTCAGACACACACCAGAATGTGTCCGGGTTCACTCAGGTTTCTAGAAAAGTCTCCATAGTAACAACGTTAGTCCAGAGACAGTTGTCTCCATAGTAACAGGAAAACACAACAGCAGCAGTGACTTCAGATGAAATAGATTTTATGTGTTGAAAACTCCTTCATCTTATTCTTATTATTATAGTTGTTGTTTTTAACTGCAGATGATGTCAGAACACTTTATACAATAACTCTGAACAACTCTCACAACCCTGAGCTGTGGAGTTTCTGTCCACGTCAAAACTTCCTCCTGTAATAACTGTGAACCTGCACATCTTGTATTCATTTTTTATTTTGACATGTTCAGATTCCTCCCGACCTCATTACAAACAACTGCTGCATCTTTACACACATGTCTCTTATTCATAGTTTGAATCTCTTGTATTTAGTCTCTTGTTTATAGGCTCATCCTTTCTTTTATTATATTTGTATACTTTGCTGTGTATCGTAGTACATTGTTATTGTGTATCATATATCATGTCAAATTTCTCTCATACCTACTTATAGTTTTTAGATTAATGGGATTTGTCACTAACACACTGCACAAGGATAAAAAAATAAAAATGTTTTTCTTTTCTCCTGCTGTCTAACTAACAAACTCTTTAATTTTAAGGTGGAGAAACCTAAGCCCATAAAGTGTGCGACATTTGGGGCTTCCTCTCTTCAACAAAGACACATAGCCACTGGAGATTTTGATGGAAGTCTCAATATATGGTACTTTAACCACATTTATTGATGACACGCAAGTGTGATGTCTGGCTGAGTGGGATGTGAGTTCACACTGACCCTGTTTTAAGTCAGACGCCTCTGTTGTCTGCAGGAATCTGGAGGTGCCTGAAGTGCCTGTGTACAGCGTCAAGGCCCATAAAGAAATAGTGAATAGCATCGATGGTGTCGGTGGCCTGGGGATCGGTGACGGTGCACCTGAGATAGTCACTGGAAGCAGAGATGGTTTGATGTTTTTTTAAATTTCAATCTTGCTGAATGCAAATATTAGATCCCAGGTTGAATGTTTAAAATCTAATTAATTCATGTTTGAGTTAAGCTAAAACATAATGTTTTTTTCTTTTCTTTGGGTGTTTCAGGGACAGTGAAGGTTTGGGATCCCAGACAGAAAGATTCACCTGTAGCCAACATGGAGCCTGTGGAAGGAGAAACCAAGAGGGACTGCTGGACGGTTGCATTTGGTGAGTAAAACAAAAGAACCAACATCCACAGGTTTTATAAAACCACCTCTGTCCAGTCCAGTTTCAGGTACCTGCTTTCTTAGTGCACATGGAAACATCCTCAAAGGTTCAGCAGAGGTTTATCTACGGCCTCCGTGCATAAGAAGTTTGTTCAGGTTGTGCAGAGGAAAAACAAAAGAAAACTAAAGTGTTATTGACTCTTTCATTACAGGTCACACCTTCAACGATCAGGACCGCTGCGTGTGCGCTGGCTACGACAACGGGGACATCAAACTCTTCGACCTGCGGAACATGTCCCTCCGGTGGGAAACCAACATTAAAAATGGGGTACGGTTTGTGCTGACACGATAAATCCTTAATTACATCCGTGACAGCCGCTGTTGCATGTGATTTTTGTAAAGCTGGGCTGAAACATTGGCTCAAAGGACAAAAGTTACAAACTCTTCAGGAAAAAAAAGGAACTCAAACTGACGGTGTGAATTCGCCAACTCAGCTCTGAAGCACAAGAGTCGTCCTCTAATTCTGAATTTCTGTTTTTATTAGGATAAACTGTCCAAATACACATTATTTATTTTGCAATGCAACCAGCACTTGAACAGCACAGTGGATAGAATCAGGGACAGACCTGAAGTGACTTCCCAGCATCGTTTAGACTGAACTAAGGTTAATGCATGGTCCCGCCACATGTCACACACAAAGCACTGCACTGATTCGATTTTTATACTCTGCCTCTTTTTCATCACCTCGTGAATGTAATGTCATTATGTCCGTATCTAGAAAAACATGTAGTGAAGCCATTGCCATGAGATAAATGCCCAGGGAGTAACTGTTATTTTACTTCATGACCAGGTATGCTGTGTGGAGTTCGACAGGAAAGACATCAACATGAACAAGCTGGTGGCCACATCGCTGGAGGGAAAATTCCACGTCTTCGACATGAGGACCCAGCACCCCACCAAGGGCTTTGCCTCCGTTTCCGAAAAGGTAATTGACCCAAGGGGAAATGAGCCAGACGGATGTTTGGCTCCGATATATGGAAAAATGTCAAAAGATTAGTGTCGTCGTTATTGTTTTTACATTCGTACGGTACAGAGGGAATTAGGTGCACACGTCGTTTCGACCGTTTTCACAGCTGGAAGAGTTTGGAGTCGTGTTTGTCTAACATTCTCCGTGGCTTCGCGACACCGGGCCAAAAACGACAGAGGGTCAGCGAGGAGAGAGGAGTGCAGCTTTTTGTGGGAAAACGAAAGAGAAACACACTTAAATTGGCGTCAGTGCACAGTCCAGCCCAGTGTTCACCAGGTACTGAGAGATCAGACGCCTCGGCTTTCTAAATATTTGTCCAGTTCTTCTGAGCCATCGAAAGGTGGAACATCACTGTCTCCAACCGTGAACCATAAGGTTCCACTTGATAGTTCTGCTCTAAAGTACGATATAAATGAATCTCTACAGACAAGTTCTAATCGTGGCCAAGAGATTGGATTTTTTAACAAATTATTGTATTTATTTTCAGTTTTGCGTCGTTAAAAGCTACTGAACTGAAGGAAGAATTCAATGTTGGAGGTTGTATTTTCCTGCTCAATGAACGGAAAGGCAAAACAAGGGATTTACGTAATGTAGGTCGGCCAGTTTACACAAAGAAGGTGGAGCGTTGTGAAAGTGAGGGCAAGGGAAAGATAGAGGAGATCACACATTCATTAAAACGATTAATGACAGACATTAAAGAGTTTCCAGTTTAAATCAACATCATAGAAAGAGTCACAACTGCTCATGAAACAATCCTGACAAACACTACACAATGGTAAGGCCACATTATTTGACCCTCATTACACATTTTGCCATTACTCATTTAATTGTTTCCTAAAGTAAATGATCCCTCTTCTTTATTTTAGGCTCATAAGTCGACCATCTGGCAGGTGAGACATTTACCTCAGAACAGAGACGTCTTCATGACTGCAGGGGGAGCAGGAAACGTACATCTGTGGAAATAGTAAGTCGTCCATCCAGTTTGTATTCTACTTCATTTGAATCAAGTTTTTCAGATTTATCATAAACTGTAAAATCCTTTTGTTTTGATGATGACAGTGAGTATCCTGCTCAGAGAAGCAAGCAGGACTCTGACGGCATGGATGTGGGCGTGGCCGGCACTGTCAACCTCTTACAGAACGCCACTCTGTCCACGCAGCCAATCGCCAGCCTGGACTGGAGTCCTGACAAGCAGGGCCTGTGTGTGTGCTCAGGGTTCGACCAGTCTGTCCGTGTGCTCATTGTCACCAAACTCAACGTGGTGTGAGACGGTCGACTGCAACAAACACTGATGGTCTGTGCAGCCTGAAAACACGCAGCTACAGAGACACTGTTCAAATCACTGCCTTTATCCAGAGGCTGAATTGTTTCTCTGGTGGTCTTTGGATGATGGGTATTTATTTGACGACAATTTCCTTCCTAGTTTGTCCATTGTTGTCACTTTTGATATGACATTTTAATGTGAACTCTGTTTTCAAATTAAATATGCTTTGGAGAAAAAAAAGATTTTCTCAGTGTACTCTTAATGAAATACATAATTATGATATATATGAGCAGTAAGTTATTATCTCAAAGGTTAGAAGCATCATCATATCCAGAGTTTGAACCTGAAGAAGTCCTGCAGGTCCTGATCGTCCTCCTGTCGGTCGTGAATCCTCGCGTAGACACTCCTCAGCAGCTTGGTCATGGACTTTCCATCTAAGATGTTGATGTATTTCTCTATGCTGCCTACAAACACGGGTGGTTGTACTGCTCCAGCGTCATCAGCATGCAGACGATCTCTCCTGCGATGAAGGCATCGTCTAAGCTCTGCTCGGCCACAGGCTTGAGAGGAAACCTGCAGCAAAGCTCCACGGCAGCCTGAGGGTCCGACGGCTCCAGCAGCTGCACGAGCTCAATATAAGCATCATGGACCTTTGGAAATCAACTCCAGACTTCTGCAGGTGAGTATATCTACGAATAATGAACGTATTGAGGTTGTCCTTACAAAAGTAACGTTAATGACGTTATTATTGAGTAAATATGTGAAATCTAAATGTCACAGATAACAACTGACCCCTGGTGCCATGGAGATGACCTTTTGGTAGAGCCGCTTTGCCTCGTCCTGAGTGTCTGCAGAGGGGGAGAGGGCCAGACCCAGTCGAGAGACATGAGACCTGCGTTTCACTGGCCAGGACACAGCGACTCTGTCTCCCACTGGAGGCTCTGAAACTACAGACGTGAAGAGTAGAAACCTTCTTTGACAAACAGAGGAATAAAACACATACATTTTTAGATGCCCCTTAAAACAGGCGTCTGATTGAAATCCCTCCTCAACACATAAAGAACATCAGACACCTTCATCTTCCAGATTTCTTTCCACCTGTTTTCACAAGACTTTGAAAGCCACTGTCAGTTTTTTTGTTGTTGTTTTACCCTCTGCTGTCTCAACAGCATCGGGGCAACAGGCCTGTTGAGACTTGTTGGCGGGGAGCTGAGCTTTAGTGGAATTGTTGGAGGGTTTAGCTGATCCATCTGGCTTGGCTGCTGCTCCAGCTCTCCCCCTACAGGAAAGAAAACATAACACAGAAGCCCTGAAATAGATTGAAAAGATTTAATTTGTGCTAATGCAGAGAATACAGCAAATCACATGTCAGTGTTATACTGTTTGTAGTTTTACTGATATTATTTTAGTGCACTCCTCAAACTTTTAAACATTTGCAAATGTTTCCAAAATTCAAAAACAGACCTAAACCCTCCTCCAGTGAAGCTTCCAAGAAGGCTGAACAGAAAGTGTCAGTGTTTGTACTTGGCAAGTGAAGCAACACTGAAAACCACATTCATCCAGAGGAAATCATCCATGAATTAATAGAAGTGACCAAACAGCCACATAACAGGTTTGTCCAGCGCTTGACTCAGACTGCCAGCGTGGCTTACCTGGCTGCGGGTCGCCCAGCTTTCCCTCCCCTGATGGGGGCTGGGGGCGTCGCAGCAGCAGCAGCAGCTTTGGTTACAGCTGCTCGGACATGACCAGGCCCCCCCCCCCCCCCCCCCCTGCCCCGCCTGGCTGCTCTCTTGGCCACACTGGTGTCTGTGGACCCTTTCACTCCTTTTGGTTGTGTTTTAGATTGTTTGGAAGATTTCTCATCTTCAAAGTTCTGCTGGTCCTGCCACCATTTTTGTCCTGAGCAGAGATGGGATGATTAATGTGAATGTAGTTCATTTCTTTACAGCCAGAGACAGTTAAACTAGGCTTTACTACACCAACAAACTCACTGCTCAGCTGTTCAGGTGGCTGCCCGCTCTGCGTCTTGTCTTCCAGCTCAATGCTGGCCTGGAAACTGAGACAGGCATCGGTTATGGCTTCCCGTGACTTCTCTGAATTTGGGTTGCTGTCATATTGAGCCAGCTGAGCCAGACCCAGAAGACACAAGGCACGGCTGTCCCGCGGTGTGGTCACCACGGCCAGCTGGCATGTCTGCAGAAAGCAACAGGGCGAGTAAAGAAAGTAAAGATTTGGAAGATCTGTGGTACTGTTAACTTTTCAAAACAGATAAAATACACATTTTGAATGTTTACTTGCTCGATGAGACACTCTCACCCTCTCCTGCATGTCCAGCAGCTCCTGACACGGGGTGATGGAGGTGAGGCGAATCAGAGCTGTGAGGGTCTGGCATCTTTTGGCGACCTGGGACTGCATCTCGTTGACGGCCTTGTCCTGGCACTCGCCCTGCTGGACCAGCCTCTGCAGCAGAGCGAGGTGAGCGTCCAGCAGCACCCACTCCAGCTGCACGCTCACCCTTCCACCACACACACACACCGACTCACACTCTGGGCAGCGAGCAGTGCTACACTGATAGCATGCATATGCATTCCAGCACAGAAACAGAGAAGCCACATGGTTTTCATGCAGTGATTTAACACTTACTTAACTGGCTTATAATGATTTGTATGTTCTGGTTTGTAACATACGTGCGAAAGACCTGCTCAGCACTCATGGCCTTTCCTGACAGTGTGTTCCTCTGTTGCAGCTGGCCCAGGGTGAGGAGGCCTCGCAGGAACTCTGTGTTAAGGCTGGAGTCTCTGATGGATCCTGCTCCACCCAGCTGGAGAGAAAAACACAAACAAGAAGGGCAGTGAAGAATCCGATCTCTGAGTCTTCACCTAAACTTTCTTGCCTTACTTCAGAGATGGTGGTTTGTAAAATGTGCATATCTAGACATAGATATTTTTTATTTAAAAGAGTATGAGTGGTTTTTGATGATCTTTCTCACAATCCTGGAGCTCTCACTCTCACTCCTGCAGGATTAAAACAGAACATCCTGGTACATTACTGATACAGTCAAGCCCTCTCACTCTCTCCCTCTTTGCTGAATGCATCCACCTCCGCCACACACACACACACACGCACCTCTTGCTGCAGCGCTGGCTGACAAAGTGCTCCAGTCCCAGCTGTAAGAACAGAGCAGCCTCCTTCTCTGTGTCCTCGGAGGCTTTCTGCTCCTGCTGCAGCAGAGCCAGCCCAGTGAAGAATCTGAGAAGATGAAGGCATCAGAGAAGAGATGAGAAGCTCCAACTCTGTGGTTTCAACATATTAAAGCAGATCAGGCCTTGTCTCACAAGGTGACTACACATATTTTAAGGTTTACAGGGGAGACAATATTTGGTTGAGAGGTTTATCAAAGATGCTCTGATGTTACAATGACACAAAATGCCATATAATAACATGATATCACCTCACAATACATAAAGTATGGCTGACTCTGTGATCTGACCTGAGTGCAGGATGCAGGGGCCGCAGTGCCAGGCCGCTCTGGAGATGCTGCAGGGCTTCTCTGCTCCGACCCTGCAGCAGCAGCAGCAGCCTTCCTACGTGGAGGTTGTACTCCCAGCTGTCCGGACTCAGAGACCAGGCGTCCAGGTATTTCATCAGAGCTCGGTGGACAGAGCTCTGGTTCTCCTCGTTCCGCAGAGCTGATCCACTTTCCTGCAACAAGGGTCGAGGAAGTTCAACTTCATCTGCCATTTAATGATGAATAATAGTTTAACAGAACAGTGTCACAGCAGGAAACAACAATCTACTTCAATTTGCATTACTTAAAGCAACACCATGTAATTAACTGAGCAGCAGCGCCCTCTGCAGCCACACAGGGGGATGAATTCTGTCGGGCTCTGTCTAAGAGATAAGGTGAATTTCATGTAGAGGAAAACAAGGTTATCAATGTGTTGAGCCCAGACTGTGTCATCCCACTAAACTGACACAAATGAATGGTGGATATTACCCATGATCCCCGGCTTCCTGAACTGGAAGAGCTGCCGTTGTAACAAATCCTTCAAAGTCTGTTTAGAATTCTTCATATTTTAAAAGTTTCTGCTGAATATTAGAGATAAACGCTGGTTTTTATTGACTTAAGTCTTTTTAACTCATCTACAGTTCAGCTTTACTCCTCGACTTGATTCTGACAATTGACAAATCTCACAAGAACAGAGGATCAGGGTGAGGAGTAGGAATGAAAGCAGCAGCATTCTCTCTAAGTCAGGGAACCATCAAATTCATTTTGAAGCTGCTACCTTCAGGTGGAAAGATAGTGACAGTTTCATAGTTATGCGATCAGCAATTAAAACATTATTTGTGTGTATAAAAATGTACGAAGCTTGTCATATGTTTGTAAAGATTTGGTAAACTGTGGCTGTAATATCCTGAGACAGTGAACAGGATGAGCAGTTTACAAGAAGGGAGGATAGTTATACATCCTGTCAGACAAGTCATTAATCATGCAGCCGCTCTCCTGGCGTGTGAGACTCTGATCTGAGACAGAGCACATTGTAAAAGCTGCTCATCTTCTCTGGCCTCTCAGTTATAAAAGAGCAGATGTTGATGATGATGCAACAAAAAGTTGTATCACAATGCATCCGATCATTCAATCTTTAAGTATCCACTGGTGCCACACATCAGAGCACGTACAGCAAACTTATCAAAGTACACAGTGACCTTGCCGGTTTTCTTTGACAGCCACATGTAGAGAGCCTGAACATAGTCGGCTCTGCTGGACTGTCCCTGCTCCCTGAGCAGCGGATACTCTTTATCCAAGGCCCGAAGCTGGTTCTCCAGCGTGGGTGTGCGGGGGAAACCGTGGAGTTTACACACTGCGAGGACCTCATCTTGTCGTGCTGCTGATTTGGCGTCGCTTAATTTACCTCTGTCTCTGTCCGCCTGGAGACGCAGGAGAAGACAGTGAGAGGGTGTGTCGCTCTTCAATCTATTCAATCTATCAAGTTTTAATAATATTACTATTTAACTGGTAATATAATAAAACCAATCGCCTTGTTATTTTAACAGTTGTTAAAGAATTAGTTTTACTTTCACAAGATTTCAGGTGCAATAACATCTGCTACCTTCCTCTGGAGGCCGTACAGCTCTGTGGCGTAGTGCTGCTCCTCCAGTACAAGACCCAACAGAGTCTGATAGCTGATGCATAGTGGACAGCAGCCTGCTCCAGGCTCTGCAGAGGAGACTGGCCGCCCTCGTACTGCAACATGTCCCCTGTGGAGAGGTGAAAAATAAACACTGTGCAGCCTGGAAAGTCTCATCTCTCATCTGGAAACTAACTAACAAGTGTACTTGGCTTTTAACTGTACAAAACTCAGTTATTTAGAACACAACAGTTCATTTCTAATATATTTTGTATATTTATTTTCAAAGCTTTCTAATTTAATATTGTCAGAGTCACAAAATTTTAAACTAATCAGATTAATTCCCTAGAAGGAATGAGTCAAAAGACGAAGCGTGGATTTGATTTGCACAATAAATTCAAAATGGTGAATGTCCTGTTGAGTTTAGGGGGTGGCTCCAAAAGGCCTCAAACTGTGAGGAGGCTAAAACAGACATGTCGCATCATCAGGTTTGTGAGTTTGTTTAGGAACTTTAAAATACATTGAAATATTTGAGATAAGTTTTATCATGCGTATCACCTGTAATTATTGCATAATTGGAATTTTCTTTCCGACTGTTGTGACCATCAGAACAGAAAATCAGCAACTCAAACAATATGGTTGCCTCTCTGTGTTACAATCTCATTAAAGTCTAACTCTGAAATTAAACTCTCCCACAGTTGAAACACTTCTGCTCTCTCAGGCATTCAGTGTGTGATGAGGAATAACACAATCTCCTGTTTGGCCGCCTTCTCTCTTTCCCTTACGAAGGATTGCATGCATCCTCTGCATTAAATATTCAGGGAGTTTAACTTCCCCTGCCTCTATGTGGCAGAACAAACTCATGCCACAGAACCTATATTAGTGAATATTTCAAAACCTATGCCCCCCCACCCCCCTTCTCTGGTGTTACTTCTCAGTGACTTTCATTCAGTCCTCTGGGATCAGCCTTGAATGTCATTTCTCAGAGTCGTCAAACAATTAGCGCGGCACAAGTAGCTGAGAAAAGACGAGCAGTAACTCGAGTGGCTGGCACGTCAGGGAGACGAGAACGCTCCTGAGGCGACCGCTAACTAGCCCATTTTCATGTATTTCTTAATGGCTGGAGCTGAGCTGCGGTGCCAAAGACTCTTCTGTCCATGACCAGCGTGTTTTTTAAATACTCAACAGACAGTTTTGTTATTTTGCTGCAGAACACAAAGGAAGCTCTTTGTTAAAATGATAAAATTCTAATGCAGAAAACCATCAGAAGGATGATTTGTAACATGCTGGCTGTGTTCACCACTGTCAGGCAATACTAACTTTCTTTATTTTGTAATAGTGACATTTATATTCACTTTGACAGATGACGTCCATGTAATTACTGATCCTGCACTGATGGCCATGATAGTGTTACATGCCTGGTTTTGGCAGGTGCTGTCGGTAGAGTTTCAGATGATGCTGGGCCGAGGCACACAGTTTATCCACATTCTCTTCTCCTGTTGTCATTTGTAGTCTTTTCTCCCAGTTACGCACCTGAAGCAGACGAAGAACACAGGTATCCACCGAGCAGTAAAGTAAACAGAGTGAGGAGCGTTGTACCGATAGGAGTGATGAATATATCATCTATATTGTGTAAAATCCTACTTTAGCAAACACTGTCTCAGGTGATTCACTTTTATAGTCTTGATATAATCTTGTCAAAACACACATTATCTAAAATGATCAAGAATTATAAAACTTGTGTAAGTTATATAAGGACGGTTCTTTCAGGATTTTAATTTGATCAAACACTGAAAGACATGCTGCAGATCGACCACTTTCATTTACCACAAGATCTGTTATGCAAGATGTGATGAAAGCTTATTCATGACAAATGAAGATTGAAATGATTTTTTTTAACATATTGCCCAGAATTTTTTTTCTGCATTCTGTAAAATAGGAAAAACTTTGAATATGTAGAATAAAATAAATCAATCAGGGAAAGTAAAGCTAAATAATTTAGCCAAAACACATGCTCGGAGTCCATACATACCAAAACATGGTGTATTCAATACAGATACACTTCAGTATTGAACATTGCTAATGCAAAGCAAGATAACATGACACACACACACACACACACACACACACACACACACACACACACACAGACACACACACACACAGACAGACATACAAACACACACAGAGAGACACACACGATACTTTTACTCTGGAAGTTAAACCGGCACTTGTCACCGTGAAGGGAGCCCTGACTTGTGAATAAAGGATGAGCAGTGGAGGTCGATAGCAGTGATTGTGGCGATGCAGTGATGCTGTTCAATCTTTCATGCTGACCTTTGAATCCAGGTCTCCTGTGGGCCTGTGTGGGCAGTCAAGAACGTGTGACCCCAGCTCAGACACTTTCATCACACTGTCGCGTCCTTTGTTAAAAAGAAAACATAAAAACGCCACGTCTGTGATGTCGTCCCTCACAACATAACAAGAAAACCAGTATAATTCATTTAAATGACACCTGCAATACAAGCTATTGTGCAAATTGTGTTTTGTTTTATTAAACAATCTGAAAAACATCCTGTTGACCACAAATACACATGTGACTAAGCAGAGAAACGCCTGCTGGATATAACGACCTGATATTAAATCCAACCTTTAGCCATGACAGCTGGATACACAAGGTCTTAGTTAAGTAACAATATCCCCCTTCGTTACATGATAGGTGTCTGTGGTAACATCATGTTGCATGACAGCAGGCAGTGTGATCAGGACTATAAGGAGGTCAGGCAAGTGAACCAAGAATTCAAACCACGTAGGTTTACACTGAATATTCATTAGAGGTAAAACAGAACAGAGTCATTCAAACAACTTTTTAATCATCAATTACTGTGACGTGTCTTTGTGACGGTTGCAAACTACCTTCCCCCTCTCTATCCCACTTTTTTTTAACTCAGCTCTAAACACAAACAACAGCGACTCCACCCACTGACCTTTAACAACACAAACCAAAAGGAGCCTTTCCTCCGCAGCAGCTGCTCTTCAGACAAACCTTTCAGGGCTTTACCTCGGTAAACAAAGAAGCACTTGACCGGAGCAGTGGACATCTCCCCGTCAAGGTCCCGCTCAACGACTTTCCAGCGGTCTCCCAGAGGACAGTCGCTAAGTGGGTTGACTTTTGATCTACGTGTCAGCATCTCAGCGTAAGGCCTGGAGATGGTGTGCTTTGGGTCACTGCAAATCAATAAAAGGAGCAGCTCGATCTTGACAGTGTTGGTTGAGCCATTACAGACGATATGCAGAATCTTTACAACTGGGATATTGTAGAATTTACAGGCTATAATGAACCAAATATCTAAAATAGCTCTATTTGGGAATCATTGGCTATTTGTAGTGGTAAGAGACTGCACACAATAATGAATTATAAGTATTTTACTCTAATTTACTTTACTTTTTATTCTACACACCTGTCACAGAAATAAAGCTGTTAAAATAATAAAAGGAGGTGACAGCTCTTGCATCTACTGTTATTATTTTCTCATAAATCTTCCCATTCGTGGTCTCACCTGCGGTTGATAGATACGGGCCTATAAAAAGCACTCAGGGACACCGGACATTCATAGTCCAGCTGCTGCTTCCCATCAGTGAAGGTCACAGCCAGGGGGACGAGCTCTCGAGTCACCAATACCGTGTACACCTGACGGTAATGGGGGGGGTGTTATTTAAGAAAAGCAATCAATCACTGTTGCAGAACAGCACAAAATGTGCAAGACTTCCATTCTATTATTTATAAATGTGGATAACAAAAGATGAGTGTATGTTACCAGGCAGGTGTTCAACAAATATAAGGTGATCTGCAAAACTATGAAGGCGTTAGTTTGTGTTGAAGTTACAAGTTGTGATCATCAAACACACATTAAGCCTGGAGTGACATCAGTGCAATCTGACCATGACAGTGTTTGTTGAGCCGTTAACAGACGATAGTGGTGCAGCTCGTGTCTCATTCCACCTGTGAATCACTGCCATCTGCTGAACGGACGCAGATCTCCACTACAGTGTCTCCAAAGTTCACAGGGACCGGTTGTGAGCCGTCTGTCCCGTTCACCGAAACTTTGATGTTTATGTCCGGCACCTTGGGAAGCAGCATCACAGCATTACAGTGAAAGGGAACGATGCCGGGCAGAAACACCAATACAGATAAATGTTACTTGCTGATTTTTTCAGAAATGTTTAATTTTCTGACATTTTCTGACGCGATGCAAATTAATCATGTTGAATATACGTAGTTCAGAATGGGCAATGAAACAACATGAATTATCATCAAAGTGTAATTTTTTATCAATATCAATTTAACTAAAGTCCAATAAAGATCGATGTAACACTTTGACATGTTCTTATGTTTCTTAAAATCTGTTCTCTTCTTATTCGAATCTAATTTTTTAAATTTGTATCTTCATTGCATGTGAAGCAATTTGAGCTGCAGGTCTTGTATGAAAGGTGCAACACAAATGTAGTTTTCTATCATTATTATTGTTGTTGGTGGTATAACTCTAATATAACTTGATTAAACTCAACCCGGTTGTCTCCACTCACTGTTGTATTCGTATTTTAAACTAGTCCAGATTTGACTGGTTTGGATGTTGATGCTATTTCAGGAACATAATACTGAATCAAGCTTTTCTGTGTGTTTTCACAAACATAATAAAAACGTTGGTGTAATGTGAGAATCAGATAAAACAACACAAGTGGTTCAAAACATCCAAGAACTTTCATTTTCATTTATTTCATCTCTTCAATGACTTTCCCCTTAAGAGACAAAGCGGAAGTGACGATGGGGGAAACTGGCTTCCGTTGTTTCACGTCACTTCCTGTCTTTAGCCTGCAGCGTGTTGAAAAGGTAACTAAAGATTTATCGTTAAAAAACATCAGAATTTATCTCCAGTCAACTCGTGTTGGTTTTAAATGAATAATATCTATTGTGTCAGATGTAGTTTATACTTGTTGTATTGATTCTCACGTCAAAGCTCGTTTTTTTAAAGTCTGTTAGCAACACACGCGAGCTTTCCAGCTAGCTAGCTAGCTAGTTAGCATTCCAGATGTTTCTGCTGTTTTCTACTTTTCGAGTGAAATAATCGCGTCACACGTCACAGAGCCGCGCGGCGTTAATGGGTTTGACTCGTCCTCCAGGAACATGGCGGCGGAGACGGAGGACTACCCTCATGAGATCGACGAACAGCTCACAGGCTTCGACTCCTCGGTGTCTTCCGTCAAAACCATGTTGGAGCAGCTGATGTCTTTGAACAAGAACGACCTCCAGCAGAAGGTAGGACCGTGTGAGCTCCCGCTGTGAGCGGCCACAGTCAGCAGCCTGCAGGGGGGTGGCTCCGTGTCCGAGACGGTCCCACAGCAGAAGATCGACAGAGACAGACCTGTTTTTCTTTCCCTCCCATGATCAGTCACTGTCTACATCACTGACAGTAGATTATACTTATCATAAAGTGTATTCAGTTGTTTTTATGTGGCAAACTAAGGGTAGTTTTTATTTTTTTTATACTAAGTTGTAGGTAATTCACAAACAACATGCCCAGCAGCTTCAGGTAAAAGGTTGTGAAATAACCAGAACCCCAAATCTCCCCCGGTGACTGTGCCAGCAGTGTAGTAATGATGTGTGTGAGACAGAAAAAGAAAAAGTTGCATTCATGTTTGCAGGAATTGGTGAATGTGACTCTAAAGTGATTTAAGTGGTTGAAAAGCACCGCATACATATTTACACGTCGTTTACCAAAATGAATACCTGCCTATTCTTTTGATGCCGGAGCCTCCTTCGTCTCACACTGGGTAAGAGGCAGAGCTCAATCCTGTCACCAGTCTATCAAAGCATCAGTATGGATTTAAAACATCTGATCTCAGACTTTTATTTAACAGGTTCTTTGGAGAAAACCAAAGTGAGAATTACGTATCAAATATTAAAATATGTGTTGAGTTTAATGTGACTCTGTAGCTAGTGGTTTGTGTTGTAGTCTAGGAAGGAAGAAACTGTAAGTGACTTAATGAGACGTTTTGTGTTTTCACTGTTCAGACCTTGTGCTTCTAATACACTGTTGTAATTAAAAAGCTGGTGCTAATTAAACTAAATCAAGTTTATTTGCAGCTGGATCCTTTGGATCAAGCCAAACTGGATCTGATGTCTGCCTACACCCTCAACTCATTATTCTGGAGTAAGTTTTATTCTCTGGATTCACTGTGGTCACACATTTATCTGTATCATTTTCTCTGATTTAACCAGAAAACAACCACAAAGAGAAGCTAGAATACAAAAAAAACTGTACAAAGTCTTATGTTCGGTTTCATTTACAGTGTACTTGGTCACAAAAGGGGTAAATCCCAGGGAGCATGGAATCAAGCAAGAGTTGGTATGTACTGAGTCTTCTCTGACATAATCTCTTCTCACTATTTAAGTGCATTGTCTAATTTGTCACCATTCTCTGATCCTCAGGAGCGAATCAGGACGTACATGAACAGAGTGAAGGAGATCGGGGATAAGAAGAAAGCTGCCCGTCTGGATAAGGGAGCTGCTGCACGTTTTGTCAGGAACGCTCTTTATGATGCAGAGGAAAAAGAATCGAGAAAGAAAGCAGCGTCCAAGAAAACGCCGGACGCAGCATCTGACGGCCCGAAGTCAAAGCGTCCGAAGCAGAGGTGAAGAAAGGGAGGAGGAGTTGAACAGTCTGGTTCCATTACGCTGTGCACCACTGTCAAACACCTGAGTTGATATGTTTGCTAACAAGGAATCCAAGTCTGTCTGATGAGGCATCATACAAGACAACAGAATGTTTCCGGGTCGCTCAGCGCTCAGGATTCTACTTTGGAGTCAGATCATCGGTCGTTGTTTTCGTGCAGCAGTCAGTGAATGTTGCTGGATGTGGTAGAAACACAGCATCCACGTTATTTGAACACATCTCTGGACAAAGTTCCACGCAGCTGCTCTAGAACTGAATGGATATGATGGTGTAATATTTTTGTAATGTTACTTCATCACTGAGTTTTGTGTGTACGTGTAGTTCTATTACCAGTTTTATTTGAAAACAGAGTAAATCATTGATTGGGTCCATGCAGGTATTGAAATGTCGTCTTAGATTATGGTTCTTTTAAACAAAATGATTGTCACCTGTGTATTTTGAAAGTGATTCTATGAATCATGAGTCATTCTTGCATTTGACCTGTTTTTACTCACGTCTTTTTTCAAACCAAAGTCTGATCAACTTTCAGTGATGTGTTTTATTTAGAATTGACTTTTGCTGAAAAATACAAATCAAACCTGATGTTTGAGTGTTTCTTTATTCTGTTCTTTGGCTCATTTTTCTCATTGTTGCCTGTTTTTGTGCAGTAAAAAACGTATTAATTGAATTCTTACAAAACATTTGAGTATAAGTTCCTCAATTGGCCCTTTTCACATTATTGTACATTTTCAGATAACAGTATTAAAAGCTCCAGTGTGAAAACACTTAAAGATCAGGGTGTTGAGAATGATGGCGGAATAAATAGGTAACACTTGTACTTATGACGTCATCAAGTCGGAACAGCATTTTTCTGTCATCAGTTAAAATTGACTTAAGTGTTTGAACATGGGGGTGTTGGGATAATACAACTAGGTCGATCTCAGTAATCAGTCGGCTTGTTATTAGTTATTCAGTACTATGTGTATTTTTTGACAATTGACGGTGATCAAATTGTCAATAGCAGTACTTTTTTGAGTGTTTGTATCCTGACAAAACTACATAGAAGAGATTAACAAGAAGTTAGCGATAGAAGTTACCGTCATGCGTCTGTACGTAAACAGAAAGTGAAGAATAACATAAAATACGCTAAAGAGATTAAGAACAACAAATGGAACAATACAGTGGTCAGCGATGTAGTTATGATTAATCTGAAGTATTAATTCTAACGTAAAATACATGTAGTACAATTCTCTCTGTTACTGTTAAAACAAGAAGACGCACACTATAATTTATAAAAAGTATCATAATATAATAACATATTACTACAAGATTTAGTTGATATGTAATGTGTAATGATATAATAATTATTAGTAATTAGTGTAATAGGGATATTGTATATTATTTGTATATATGGTCTATATTATCATGTTTGGGATAAGAAGGCCTAACTTTAACGCAGATGGAATCACACATTGTGTGAATAAAGTTCATAGTAGTAATTTCTAAATCTGTAACCTTTTCATTTCATTACTGCTGCCTGTAAGCATCCACAACACAACCGTAGCTTTATGTCTGCACAGTAAAAACATATAGAGTTGCTTATATAAAAAAACTCACGTTAGATAAAGACATCCATATTGCTTCCTTTTTGTAATTCCCTCTGGTCGGCCGAGATCTTAATCTTAATGTACCCACAAGTCTCTGCATCCCTCTAATCAAGGCCAGGAAACAGCGCGGCAGTGAGTTACATGCTCAGGAATGTATCTTTTCATTCTTTTCATCATCTCTCCTTTTTCTCATCCTCCCTACAGCAGAGTCCAAAAATGACATTTGTTTAGCCAAACCGCTTTTACTCTTTCCACCAAGTTGTTGTTTCTAACTCTGTTCAAAGACATGTGTCAAACTTTGCCTGATGAACAGCCCCCGTCTGCATATTGGAAAAATATGGATTTTTCCACATTTCTTTTTTTTTTCTTCTTCTCTTTTCTCCCCGCTCTGTAGCGTTCGCCTCCCCATGCCCTCATCCACACATGTGCTCGGTAAAAAGGGAGTTAGGTCACTGTGCGAGCAAACTTGAACAAACAAACTCATGTTGAAATCGTGCACCCTAACAAGCTCCAAACCCCAGCTCTTTTTCCCGCGGTTGTTTGTGTGCAGCTTGTGGTGAGGAAGTTTATATTATACGGAGAGAGAGGCATCAGACCAAATGACCCCCTGAGGCAAGAAGAGGGTGGAGGCAGCTTTTCTTCCAGACTTCTCTATCTCCTCAAAGCCTGAAACATGCTCATAACAGATTGCATTAACCTGCTTGAGGTAATAAACGGCTTCAGCACATCTGGACACATCACATAATTTGATGTAAATTGTTAGTAAGTGGGTTTAAATCTGGTTTAAACTAGATTGGCACCAGAGCACATACTCCATCTAGACTTTCTCTTTTACGAAACCACATTTAGATTCACTGGATCTAGATTTTTATTTTCGTCTGCAGCAAATCTCACACACATCAGTCACCTAAACACGTGTGACGTTTTTCATCCATATAATTTGAGAAATCGAGGAAAATGTTGAGAAATGCATCTTTCAATGTTGAGGAATTTTCTGCTCAATAATCCAGATCCGCATCAAAATTTAAATAAAAGGCCTCAATATTTCTGAGGTTCAAAGTTCAGACATTCACTGATGAAATAATCTTAATAAACCACAAGATCCATTCAGAAGCAGTTGCAGAGCTTTCAGTCACATCACGTGACCTTCAACAAGTTATCAGAGACTGTAGATCAAATGTTCATTTAATAAATCAGGATATTTGAGGTCATACAAACATAGTTCATTGTTTCGACCTCTGTGTTAGTTGTTTGTCAGCAGGACAGAAACAGCTGAATGTATTTCCACAGCTCAAGAAAGAACTCATTGAATTTTGTAGTGAATTTCTTTTCCTGTGTTAAATATTACGTTTTTTGCCTTTTTCACCAACTTCCCAGAGAATAATTTATAAATCTTGATGAAAGTTTAAGCGACTGATGTGTGTGTGTGTGTGTGTGTGTGTGTGTGTGTGTGTGTGTGTGCAGAATTCAGAGCAGCTGGACTGAATTTAAAGACCTGGGTGCAGGAATGAGCTCTACTGAGCACCATTGTAGTTTATGATATTTTTACTACTTAAAAGTTCAACTGTGTTTGATACATGTACATAGCAACATATAAAACTATATAAATAACAGCTGTAAAAAGTTGGACGTGAGTTAATAATCCCAGTTTGCGGCTTTAAAAAACATTTGCTTGCGGCTCCACTGCAGAGATGATGAGTTATTATGAAGCTCAGTGCAACAAGCTTTGCTTTGAGTAAGTGGGTGAAATGGAGAGTGAGTGAAGGGCGGACGTCGCCGCTTTATTCTGTCCGACACACCACAAATTCCATGCAGTCATTTGTGCCACTTTCTATTCACCTCGGCCGCACTGACAGAGCCGCTGATTAATCATGATAACAATGTTTTCCTTTTATTTGGCCCCCACCTCCCAGCACCGGGACAAATTACTCCCTGCAAGAGTCAGCAGGTGAGACTGACGCTCGGACCACCGGGGGCTTCAAGCCCATAGTCGTCGTTCTTCTTCTTCTTCTACTTCTTCTACTTCGTCATGCAGTTAGCTTTAAAGTGAAAATGAGAAGTGAGACTATTGTTCTACTAAATAGTTTAAATATATATTAACATTGTCAGTTTGTATTTATTCCACAGTGTGAAATATCACTAGCTCTTCAGCTTCACCTTTACATCGGAGCAACAGTTGTTCTTCTCCTCTCCGGGAGTCAGAATCACTTCTATGTCAGGTTCAGTGACAGTAATTGTAATTTGTCTCGGGGATAATGTGCAGGAGCATGATGAAAACATGCAGATTGTCACATTAGTGAAATTGTTTCCCCCTTTGTGTCTTTTTCTAATTCAGTGATGTTGAGTTTCGGGACTTTGTTACTTCTCAGTTCAGCTCCCATTCAGTCCTCTGGCCTTTTTCAAACTCATCAACAAAGAAGTCGAAAAATGGGAACAGCAGTACCTGGACAACTTCATCAGAAAGACTCTAATGCATCTTCCATTCCTGCTGCTCTCTCTCTCTCTCTCTCTCTCTCTCTCTCTCTCTCTCTATGCTGTTCATAAGGTGACGCCATGCTGAAGACACGCACAGAGCGAGGCCTTGAACTCTCCTCGCTAAACACATCACATCATCATCACACTTCATTGAGTTTCCATCCTTTGCATTGCCTTATTCCTGCCAGTGTGTTTAATCTATGGAGGAAAAGAAAAACACAGAAATCCTCCTCGGCGAGCGAGTCAGGGCCGCGCTGCCATCTATCAGGCTTAAATGAACGATTAGGAATGAAAACACGAAATCATCTCGGAGAATCAGGCGTGGGCGTAGAGGGTTGTAGGTTTGATCCACTGGGACCGGTTGTCTTTTTGAGTAAACGCTGTCCTTCCTGTTAAAGTTGTGGTTGTACTGAGCGATCCCAACACTCCAACGTGTGTAGATGAGAAACAAATAAAAGTTTTTAAACTAAACATCCAAATTTTATCCATCTTCTCCCTCCCATGTGCAGAGCAGCTCTGTGATGATGTCACTGTGCGTTTGGCTTGCAGACCTCATCTGTTACTGCGACCCGGTGTTTACCTCTGATGTGGAGCTCGTTCTTAAGAGGGAAACACAACAGTCCATATGGCCGCAACGTGAAATCAGGGCTTTTCCCCTTTAAACCGTGGGCTTCCGATGCATAAAGCCGCGGGATAACCGCTCAGCCATCAAAGAGCTGCAGGCAAAACCAATCTCTGAATCTTTTACACACAAGCACACGTGCACATGCACAATCACACACACACAAACAGTGAGGGTTAAGCAGCTGCAAGCAACACTCAGCATTACACTTACTGTGCGACGCACAAAGACACACAGAAAATGGCTTACACGTGCACGTACGCACACTTAGACTTGACTGGAGGTGTGTAATGGATTGGATCCCCCTCATAATTCCTGGGACAGCGTTGTCTTCTTGGTCGGTACAGAGGCGGATGAGACCACAGCTGTTTGGACATAAATTTCCAGAGGAATGCCTTAAGTCCGAGCCTTCGGCATAAAGAGCATGACTGTAGATTCCTCCCCAGATGACAAATGATCGCCCGCAGGACCTTTGTGTGTCTGATCCTGTGTTTGCGTGTGTGCCAGGGGTTTCTCGTGTAGGCACAAGGTCACTGAAGGCCGGTTTATATTCTTTAATCTCTGCACGAACAGTGGATGTTTGATCACAGTATGTGTGTATGCATTCACCTTTGCAGTGTGCTGCAGGATCTGAAGAAGGACAAAATGGCGTGCAGGCAGTTGTAGGTGGAATCAACAGCTGGGGAGGAGGACGAGAGCAGCTGGACAGATTCCATTTAAAAAAGAAACGTCTGATTCTGTCCTCTCTGTACAGTAGCTGATGCTGGACTCGTGTTATCATGCAAGTGCAGGTTTATGGACATATTTTGGGCGGATTGTGTTGCAGGCGGCTCGCAGCAGCGATGTTGTTTTGCCAACTGGAAAATCGTATATTTCTTCCTGGATCAGATGTCTTCATTGAATGCTGATGGACATTTTCTGAAGCTTTGAGTTTCGGTTCATTCTTTAGTTTCAGGCGATGATGAAGTGCTGGATCTATA